TGATTCTAAGAAAGCGAGAAAAGATGGAAGAGTGTTGAAAAGGACGTTGAATATGTTTTTAATATTTACAATGATGATGAAACTTCTGTAAAGTGTATGATTGGAGGAGTAGTCGTGGACATGTTGGTTGACTCAGGATGTAAAGTTAATTTGATTTCTGATAAGACTTGGTATAGTTTGAAGAAACAAAATATAAAAGTATCCAATCAAATTCAAAAGCCTAATAAAAGACTAGTACCGTATGGAAGTGAAATACCTTTAAATGTTGCGGGATCATTTGAAGCAATAATAAGTACAGGAATTAAAGAAACAATAAGTACATTTTATGTTATTAACGGAGGAACAAGGGATTTGTTAGGAAAAGATTCAGCTGTGAAGTTAAATGTTTTGAAAATTGGATTGGGCATTAATCAAGTAGAGGCTAAAGAATTTCCAAAATTTAAAAATGTTTTAGTTGAGATTCCTATAGATGATACTATAAAACCTGTGGTTCAACCATACCGCAGGATACCTATACCACTTGAGCAAAAAGTAAATGAAAAAATTCAGGAACTGCTAGACTGGGATATAATCGAAGAAGTGTCACAACCATCAAGATGGGTTTCACCGGTCGTTCCAATTCTTAAAGAGAACGGAGAATTGCGCCTTTGTGTTGACATGAGACGAGCAAATGCCGCTATACTTAGGGAAAATCATCCCTTACCGACCATGGACAATTTACTCCCAAAGATTGGTAATGCTAATGATTGGTAATACTCCCAAAGTTCTTTACGAAAATTGATATTAAAAATGCATTTCACCAACTTGAACTGCATCCGGATTCCAGACATATCACTACATTTATAACATCGCGGGGGTTGTTCCAGTACAAGCGTTTGATGTTTGGAATAACGTGCGCCCCAGAAATATTCCAGAAGACCTTGGAAAGGATGATTATTCATTGTGAAGGAGCAGTCAATTTTATTGACGATATACTTATTTATGGAAGTACTGAGACGGAACATGACCGGCGCGTAGAACAAATACTGAAGGTATTAAATGAGAACAACGTGTTGCTAAATGAAAATAAATGTATTAGGAAAGTTCAAGTAGTTAATTTTCTAGGACATGAGTTAAGTGCAAATGGAGTCAAACCATTAAAGAAGTATATAGATAGCATCGACAATTTTGGGATTCCAAAAACGATTGAAGAATTACAGAGCTTTTTGGGTTTAATAAATTATATTAATAAATGGATACCTAACCTAGCAACAACTACAGAACCGTTAAAACAACTATTGCGGAAAAAATTAGGCAAAAATGCTGGGTTAGAGAAATATTGGAAGAAAGAACAGAAAGAAGCTTTTGACTTAGTAAAAAAGGACTTATCACAATTAAAGTCTCTTGGGTACTATAGCGTGAAAGATAAAATACAAGTGATTGCCGATGCCAGTCCGGTGGGCATTGGAGCAGTTTTGGTACAAATAAACTCTAGAGGTCCACGAATTATAGCCTATGGCAATAAAACGTTAACTGATTGCGAGCGAAGGTACAGTCAGACAGAGAAAGAAGCGCTAGCCTTGGTTTGGGCTGTTGAACATTTTAACATCTTCCTATATGGCAAAGAATTTGATCTGATAACCGATCATAAACCCTTAGAGGTTATATTTGGGCCAAGATCTAAACCCTGTGCTCGCGTGGAAAGATGGGTTTTGCGTTTGCAATCATATCGATACAAAATTAAATATCAATCTGGCAAATCAAACATTGCTGATCCACTGTCACGTCTTTGTCATCAAAATGCTACCTCTTATTTAGGAAAGGATCAGCATGTTTACCAAATTGTTGAACAAGCCAGACCAAAGGCTGTTTCCATGTACGATATTGTTGGACATTCGGTTAAGGATTTAGAAATCAAAAACGTGAAGAACGGTATCTATAAAAATATTTGGGATGATAACGTTAAAGCATACAAAATTTTTGAAAGTGAACTATGTTTCTATGATGATGTTCTTTTAAGAGGCAATCGCATAGTGATACCTGTTTCACTACGAAAGGAAGTGTTAGATTCTGCGCACGAAGGGCATCCTGGGATTGCAGCGATGAAAGGTCGACTAAGATCTAAAGTGTGGTGGCCACGAATAGATCGAGACGCGGAAAACGTTGTTAAGGGTTGTAAGGGATGCACCTTAGTAGGTGCACCAAATCCGCCAATGCCAATGAAAAGGCGTGAATTACCTTCAGCACCTTGGGTGGATGTAGCTATTGATCTTTTAGGTCCATTGCCCAGCAATGATTATCTTTTGGTGATTATTGACTACTACAGTCGATACAAAGAAATCAAAATCACAAAATCTATCATGAGTTCGCAGATTATCAAGATCCTTAAAGAAATTTTTAGTAGATTGGGCTATCCTGTCAGCATTACTGCTGATAACGGCCGCCAATTTATCAGCACCGAATTCAGATCATTCTTACAAGAATGTAACATTACCCTTTATAATACAGTTCCCTATTGGCCTCAGCAGAATGGAGAAGTTGAGAGGCAGAATCGCGATATTTTGAAAAGGTTGAAAATAGGACACATAGAAAAGAAGGATCTGAGAGAAAGTCTCTACGAATATCTTCTAATGTATAATGCTACTCCGCATTCAGTTACGGGAAAATCTCCTTCAGAGCTATTCTTCAAGAGACAGTGTCGAGATAAAATTCCATCAATAAGAGAAAGAGAACTTGAAGATGATTCTGAAGTTAGAGATAAAGATAAAGAGCAGAAGGAGAGAGGAAAGGAATATGGTGATAAGAAAAGGCGTGCAAAAGAAAGTCAACTAGTAGAAGGAGACAAAGTGTACGTCAAAGAAATGGAATCCAATAAATTAAGTTTAAATTACAACCCTACACCACATGTTGTGGAAAATCGTAGTGGTGGAGATGTGACAGTTAGGAATGAAGAGACTGGACAGACATTAAGACGAAACGTAGTACATTTAAAACGAGTTGAAGGCAAATGGACATCAATCACAGATAATGAAAATGAAGATATTGAGAATTTGTAATATTGTTTCACATATACATTGATGTAATTAATAAACAAGTGATTTAAATTAAAACAAAATCTTTTAATATGAAAAGGATGTAGTGTTTGTGGTAGTATCTATATACATATAGATACATGCCGTCTCGTGCGCATGACGCGCGGAGTGGACAGTTATTAGCACGAGAGCCGCGGGCGAGGGTGGACTGTGTCACTGCTGCGCGTGCATGTGTGATCGAGCCGGCGTATGCGTTATAGTATTACATTAGTTTACAGTAAGGGTCCTACAATCTATACATATAATAAAATTGTAGAAAAGTGCTGTCTGTACATTGAAAATAAAAATAAAAAAAATAGCAGGGGTTATTGTTATGTCGATGTCGAACACAAAAATGTAATTAACTTTATTTTTGTCTGTTTGTCTGTTTGTCTGTTCACGCTAATCTCAGAAACGGCTGATCCGAGTTGGATGCGGTTTTCACGAATATATTGTGGTATGCTTCAGTTATGCTTTAGTGTTTGTTTCATGTCAATCGGTTCATAAATAAAAAAGTTATGTCAAATTAAAGAATCACGTCGAACACTATTCTATGCTTATACATACAAAATGACTGTGATTATGATCCAAAATAAAAATAAGTAAGTATATATTTAAAAAAAAACGCTGCTCATAGTCACTATTCCACGCGAACGAAGTCGCGGGCACAGCTAGTCTAAAAATATAACCAAAACCAAGGACTTTATAAGAGACACCTCAGAGTTTGCAGCATTTCGTCTCAGAGTAGTCATTTAGGAAATGCCAGCCCCTATAATGTTCACATGAATTGTGCTATTCACAAAAATAAATTAATTTCATTTCAAAGAATTTTTGCAAAAGGAGGTCACATATATATAATGCAGTCTTCGACTAAAACCTCCATAGTGCATGAACATTAGTCTATGCATTTACATAGTTATCACAGAGTATGAATCATGTGAGTGAACTTAGATAATAGGGTTATATTGGATTACCTATATAGCTTCCTTATGTACTAGAGTTTAATAACATTGTAATATGAACTTTAACTTCTAAGAGATAAGGTTTGCTTTACAGATTTAAGATTAGATCTTTATGGGTAGTAGTTTTGAAAATGTGTTATTGTATTTATCTCTACATAAACAAATCTTTCTCTTTGGTGATGTATTACTTCTCAATAACCTTTCTAAAATGTTTTTCCTGTATTTGTTTTTCTAAAACCATCTTCCTTATTATTATCATTTGTTCTCCATTTGTCCATTCATTTCAACTTATTATTCAATTATCCTTGATGTTATTGTACATATTGTGGGTAGGTATAAAAGAAGTAAGAGATGTATACAGGATAATAACTTTCTAGTACAGACAAGACCCAATTAAAAAAAAAACAATAAAAAGAGGTCAAAGAACCATAGAGGTCATAATACCACTAACCAAAAAGGTTTGTTTGTGCAAAGTTAATGATCTCAAAGATCAACATAAGGGTATTGTGGGTACAACCTATACCCACAATATCCATTTTATTGGTATAATTTAAAGTAATCAAAGCTCTAATTCCATCAAAATAAACCTTTGAGTATTCTAGTTCTAGTAGGATTCATATCATAGACCTTGATTAACATTTAATAAGTGTACTGAACCAAGGCAACTTCATGTTCAGCCTATGTAACCAGTTATGAAATACTTCTACAGCTGAAACTTTCACAATACACCAGAAATGGGCAGCTGTGTGTGACTCATACAATTAAAACAAAATGTTACTGATTTACCTAAAATCTCAATTTACATTCATATAATACCTTCATAGAGTGAATTTATGGTCGCTATCATATTTATTTTATAGTCTGTTTGCATTAGATATTCTAATTTTAAAATATCATCGAGCGTGTCGTGTTTACAGTTGAACAAAGACATGCGATTACGGTACAACAACATTTTAGCGAAGAATGTGTCATATACTTGGGTACTTACCATTACATATAAGCCCATTGCCATTTCTCACTTCATAGTTCAGCGGGCTTCCCGTACCCAGCACCAAGCTACGAGTCTCCGATATATTAGCAGTTCCCAGAAGAACACATCCCTCGCATTCTTCATATTGACTCAAAAATCTCACATCTTCGTTTGTTATAATTTGTAAACAAGCTTGATCGAATCGTAATACAGAACCGTTACAGTCCCTTATAAAAGAGCCGACGTTCTCAAAACTGCCGAACGACATTTTTTAAGGTTTATCCTACATCAGTTTCGCGAAAACAAATTTAATATTATAGTTTGAAAACAATGCAACTGCTAGTCACAAAAAACAATCAGCGATTTGCGAAGTATCGTAAACGTCAATGTCGTGATTCATCAATGAACGAATGCTTATTGAATGAACGAGAACCACAGGGTCCACAGGTAAAATAAAATTATTTTACGTTTCGATATCATTCCGCGTTCCTCGTGTATTATTAGAAGTGTATTGGTGTGTTATGTAAAACTCTAGTTAAATATGAAATATATCTAAATGATAAAGACCAGAGACTCCTCTTAGTTCGTAAATGTCATGTTTGTCGTAATGGCTCGAGCGAGAGAGCGAGACATAAAAAATCCGAGCGTCATACTAGAGCAGAGACGTATAAGGATTAAGTTTACTTGTTCCATATTATGGGAACTTGAATAATAATAATATAATGTATTTATATGGTATTTATGAACAACGAATCAAAGGTTCAAATCCTGTATGAAACAAAAGGTATTTTAATATACAGCCATAGTTTATGTGAATGCACTGATAACCCTCATAATGTTTTTACTCCTACAACAAAGTTTTACTAGAAAATGATACACACTTTTGTAATGTTTACTTATTTTAATCCAAATACTTATTTATATAAAGAAAATTAAGCAGGAAAACCAAACATCAAATGCAACAAGCGCCATAAGGAATTAAAAAACTGAATTTTGACATCGTCTGGTAGAGGCAGAGGATTTTCAGTAGTGTCGTGGGTTTCATAAAACCATTCTGGTAGTGACCGACTGTTGATAATGTAGTGCCACTGTTTGCTTCCCAAAGACACTAATAGCACGGAGTTCTGGCCTTTAAAATGTATCTGAAAATATAAGATTAAGGTAAGGGTTCTTAGAAAGTAACTTAAGTATTAGTTTTGTAACATATAGATACTATCTAATTAGAAAACAAGTATTACTCTCGTAACTGTTCAAGGATGCTCGTCTAGTTTCAAGCCACACCGGGGCTCATAAATCTTGAGCAACTTCGAAGTTAGTTGCTCGAACAGTTATTGTTAGCAGCGTTTGGAAAGATTTGTTTTAAGGATTTCATTTTGTATGAAAGCAGTAGGTAGTAGGTAAAGCTACTTTGCAACTCGGGCAAAACTTACTGTTATTGTAGGGCTGTCGTATTCTTGATTATTGTCAGTGATGTACGCATCTGGATCAACACTTGATGACAATCTGTGGAAATTAAAAAAATATTATTTGAGCAAATACTTAAGATTGATTTCATCTTACATACTTAAACAGGACTGCGTCATCGGCCGAGTTGTAGCAAATGGGACTGCCGGGCAAGGGGTTTCGGGTTCGATTCCCGGGTCAGGCAATGTATTACTGGGTTTTTTAAAAAGCTCTAGTAGTAGTAGCAGCACGGAGTCTGGAATTGTGCCCGGTATATGGCAATAGGCTCACCCCCTATTACATAGGACTCATAACATAAATAGTGAAATGTGGGTACATTGTAGTTCATTGTACAGTGGCAAATGTGCACCTCTGCCTACCCCTTCGGGGATAAAATGTGTGATGTACTGATGTTACGTTATACATTTAAAGCTGAATAAAGAGTTTGTTCCTTTACACCACGCTACGGTGAATAGGAGCCGAGTGGGAGGTGGAACCGCGCGCGATATATAGTTATCATTAATTGGGTACATCCTTACTAATATTATAAATCTGAAAGTGAGTTTGTTTGTTTGTTCCACCATCACGCCGTAACTACTCAACCTATTGCTTTGAATTTTTGCAGACGTAAATTTAGAAGTCCGGATTAAATAATAGCGTCCTTTTTAACCCGGAAAAATTGATATTCCCGAGGAAAAACAAAAGTATTGGTATAGATGGCGCTGTGTGTATTGGTATATGTCACATAGGTGTGACGCGAGCGAAGCCGCGGGTAAAAGCTAGTAAAACATAAAACAACAAAGTTTTGTAAGTCATATTTCCCAAAAAGGAAATATTTTATTGTACACACGGCCACACATCAATCTATACAAAACCAGTTTATCCTGGTGTCGCGTCGCATCATCTTTCCGCACATTTAACGTTCAGTTTATACTGGTTATGTAAAGCTCGATGTGTAGCCGTGTGTACCTATTACTTACGTGAACTTATTGATCATTTTCATAAAATCTTTCTGCGTTGGTGCTTGCTGTGAGTCTTCGTTGGAATTTGCTTTATTTGGGTCGTTTTTCTTGACTCTTGCTGAAAACCGCCCTCGAGTTCTGTTTGAGATGAAAAAATTAAAGTACTACGATACGATAACGATACAATAAACAAAATGGTAACTTTATCTGATGACTGTTGCCACCGACTTCGTGAGCGTAGAATAATTCCTATTACATCCCATTTAATCGGGATAAAAAGTATCCCATCACCTAAGTCAGCCCATGCTCTGCCTGTTTATGTTACACAGTAAATTGTGGTACACAGTACCATAATTTCATCAAAATCTGTTCAGTAGTTTCAGCGTTATTGACGGACAAACATCCCAACAAAGAAACTTCACTTTTATAATTATAATATTAGTGTGATGATTATGATTTATTATAATTTTAATGAGCTAAAGAACGGAGATAGGATAGCAACATTTTCTGTTAAACACAAACTTTTAAACTGTTTTAATCTCCAACCCAGTGGCGTACCTAGTTAGCAATTTAGCATAGGTGGCACCCAGGGTGGATTTTGTAGCTGTATCACCCCAAAACTCAATCGAAACTTAAAATAAAAAAAGTACATAATAATCATTAACGTTTTATTAAAATATGAGCATTACAAATATTTGTGTACCCTAAACAAGTTATACCCGGGGCGCCCCCCCCCCCCCACTGGTACGCCACTGCTCCAACCCGTGTATTATTATGCGAGATTATGGAAGTTAAACCCTTACTTTTCTTGAGCAGGCCCGTAATCCAGCTACACATGGTAATTAAAAATTATACCGCTTAGGTATCTTAATTTGTAAAACAAATAAAGTTTCAATAGAGATACAAAACCGATTACCTACTTATTAAAGATAAAATATTTCATATTTACAAACATTATTTATCAGAAGATTAAGTTTAAGTATAGGTATGTTGATATCTTATTCAAATAATTATTTTATCTGTTATAAAATAAAGTCAACATAAAATAAAGCAAAAAGAATTCCTTCGAGCCGGATTTGAACCAGCGACCTATGGATATCAATCAGAAGCCAACTACAGTCCACCGCTCTACCAACTGAGCTATCGAAGGTTCGAGAAAGCTGCCGAAATAGCTGTTCGGATACTATGGTCAGAGAAAAATATTAATAGAGGGGATGATGAGCATTTTTTTATCTCACGGCCAAGATTGAAAACTTCAGTATTTTATTTGAATATGAGAAATTAACAAAAAAGTTGCAAAGAAGGCAATACTTCCCGAGATTCCCCCTATTTTTAGACTGGTTTAAAAAATCTTGAATGACACCGGGGCAGAAACTGCGATTTTTTTAAATTAAAAATGATGAGATAATGGTAAATGCAGGAATGTGTGAAATTACAGCCTTAAATTCGTAGATAACAACAAGTCGTAAAAGGCCCGAATCGTACAAAAAACATAAAAATAATCGAAAATAATAATAATTTATACCAACTTACATTCTCATCAAAGGTCCAATATATTGAAAAAAATCGTCCAATTCTTTGCTGCTTCCGAGTCTTAAAGTTGGGTTCATCCAATCATCGCCGCTCAAAGATAAGACCCATAAGGGATCCCCCCTATTATTATATTTATACAAGTCACGAAGTTTATATTGCGTGTCGGTCGTAACATTATTATCATTATCAACAAAGTTCTTAAATGAAAAAAGCTCAGCAGACGAATTTGAAATTAGAATGAGTAAAAATAAAAACAACATGGCTGCTTTGGCGCGTAAATTGTAATGACAACACAAAATGAAATAATTTTAAGTTATTAATTAAATAAGTAGTACAGTAACTGCGTAAATAATTTTATTTTCACCTGAGTAAATAATTTAAGGTGTAAAGTAGCAAAATATATTGGATCGAGTAAATAGTTGAGTATGAAAGGACGGGCGTGACGAAATGTACCTATTTACGAGTAAACTGCGTAAGTAAAATAATCTTTTGATAATGCTTAATTGTACGCCAGCAGAAAATTTTATGTTGTGATAAAATAGAATACGTAGTATACGTAGTGGTATAGAGTTTATTGTACATACACAATTATTTAACTATATGTTAAATCTAAGCGCTTATTATGTACTAGCTTTTACCCGCGGCTTCGCTCGCGTCACAAAAGGATAAAAAGTAGCCTATATGACATATACCAATACACACAGCACCATCTATACCAATAATTTCGTTTTCCCTCGAGAATATGAAATTTTTCCGGGATAAAAAGTACCCTTTTATTTAATCCAGACTTCTAACTTCACGTCTGCAAAAATTCAAAGCAATCGGTTTAGTAGTTACAGCGCGAAAGTGGAACGAACAAACAAACAAACAAACTCACTTTTCTGATTTATAATATAAGTAAGGATTTCTCCAGTTTTAGCTATTACTAGTTGGGTTTTAAGCCGTTGCTTTACTCCTATTCATCGTAGCGTATTGTTTTATAGCCGACAGCTTTACCCGACATTAGTTGTATTGGTTAACAATGCAAAAATGTTTTTTCCAATCGAGCCAATATTTTTTTCTCATCGAGCCTGATTTTTTTTTCTAATCGAGCCTGATTTTTTTTAAATCGAGCTTTATTATTTTTTTAAATTGAGCCGGATTTTTTTTTCACTTTAAAGTCAATTCTTGAAATTAGCGCATTCATACAAACAAATTCTTCAAAGTATCAGTCTATCTATATAGATTGAATAAGAATTATTGTCATTTCGAAATAAACAACATAAATCATGAATTTTTCGTTTAATTTAGGCCCAAGACAGGTATTTGTCTACATGTGTCATCAATAAAATATCAGTTTTAAAATTTAAAAAAATATCAATTTATTATTAGTGTTTATATAAAGTATCTTAAAATAACACAAATTAAGATATTGGACATAATAATTTCTGGTACTTATCTCAAAAATTGCACAAAAAGGAATATGTCAGACTGGTAAATACCTATATCTACTTACATATTTATATTTTTTTTATTTAAATTCAACACAAACATATTATGTCGCGAGTGGTGTACATGGTCAATAATTTATATTGGAAGACTTGAAAGAAGTCTTGTAATTTTTTTATTATTAATTGTCTGTGTTTATTTACTGAATTCAAACGTAATTTTTGTACAAATACGCCCAAAATAACTATGTGTAAATAAAAAGAAATATTATTCAATGGGCACTTTAATTATTGCAGTGGCTTGCCTTATGTTAAGCAAATTCATAAAAAATACGGCAAGAAATTATACAACTTCCAATATTTAGACACCTACTATATTATCTTGGTAATACATACAAAACTTGTACTGACGCATATTTTATACGAGGAATGTAGGAAATAGCACTTTATGTGGTAGCAAATAAGTACAGTAATGCTTTGGCAAACTGTATGATCTCTGAGCCTCCGAGTTTTGATTCGCCGTAGACGCGATCCACGAACGTGATTGGGACTTCTCCGATAGTGTAATCCAGTTGTCTTGCCCTGGGAAGGAAAACAATGTTTATAAGTATATTTTTTATTTATGAAATCAGAGGATTACTAGAAAAAGCTAGCTAGCTACCAAGGTCCTCATAGTCATATCTTATTAGTCACTCTGAATTCAGAATGAAAACAAAACCTTCTTGGATGAATTCAGAAAAAAATAATTTTCATTGCAACTTTTCTGTCTATGCAATTAGTAGTATTTTTTCATAAACTAGAGATTAGTTGGAATTTGTGCAGACAAAAATTATTCTTGTATATATTGATGGAATGAAAAACGGCCTATCTGGAAGTCACCTATGTTCAGCAGTGAATGTTCTGTGGCTGATATCATGATGATGACACTGATGGATAAAGGAACAAAAGATTTCAGTGCGAAAATATTTGAATATTCTATGTGAGGCTTATAAATTACGAGAAGAACGATGATGATGAAGAAATAAAACAAAAACCATTTTGGAAAAGAAATCTACAATATTCGTCGGCCACATTATCACTCACCAGCAAGCAAGATGGTGGTCAAACTACCACTAAGTGTAAAAAAAATATAACTTCAAAGATCTTACCTAATAATCATTTCCATTTGAAATACATAGCCTTTGGACACACAGCTGTCTATCAACTTTTGGAGGACATCTTTCTTGTATAACCTGGAAAACGTTTATGTACATCCTTAGTTACTCCAAAATAATGCAAAAAGATCAGAAAATAATACATTTCATTTATAAATGAACTGGATTATAGACTGCATGGTTGGTACAGTGCCTTGGTAGTCACCCAGTCACAGCAACCAGTTGGTTGCTATTAACATATTGCATGTTAATATAATAATTGTTGCACAAAATCATTTTTGATCAGGGTTTGGAAGTTTTTTTATGCTTGTGAATGCACCAGGAAATATTGTCAATATAGAGTATTATGAACACTTATTTCTTTAAATTTGATTCCAGGTACAAGTAGCATACATACTTACCTAAAAGACCCCGTAAGATCCGAAGCACCAGGCCTCAATAACATCTGGGTGATGAAGTTAGCAGTCCGTGATATCAGCTTCCGTTTAAAGTCCCACCCATGGACCCCACCATCATCCTTATACCGAGTACCAGACACTACATCAAGGTCATGCTCGCGTTGCAGTTCTATGAACTTTGGGATGAATTTTGGCTGGAAATTGAAAATGAATCTATATTGAGGAGGGTGAGTAGTGTACTTTAATTTATACTATTTTAGATATACATATAAAGCTCAAGTTTCTTTGTTTGAACATGCTATTCTCTGAAACTACTGGTTTCATTTAAAAAAATATTTTTGTGTTGCATAGTCAAATTATCTAAGGATGCTGTAGGCAATAAAGCATCAAGCTATGATGGAGCCAAGCAGAGGGGGTGAAACTGGGCGAGGGGTAGCTAGTTGATATGAAGAGGTGCACATTAGGCCACTGTAGTGTATATGGTGTTATAACACCGACTTTGCACTATTTATGTTATGGGTGAGCCTATTGCCATATACCTACTGGGCACAATTCCAGACTCCATGCTGATTTTTTTAAAAATCCAGTTATACTTTGCCGGACCCGGGAATCAAACCCGAGACCCCTTGCGCGGCAGTCGCACTAGCGAACACTTGGCCAATGAGGCAATATTATAGTAGTACATGTAATAGTAATATGGTTTGATGTTATCAAGGAGTTTTAGATAACAACAGGAACTCAGTGTATAACAAATAATTGTTATCATGGCGGTAGGTAAGTTAAATAATTTAATAAAATACTTACGTGGTGACTAAGATCAGCGTCCATAATAATAATGAAATTACCGGTCGCATGCTTCATGCCGTGTATATAAGCAGTGCCTAAACCCAGTTTTTTCTCCCTCGGACGAAGAATGATCTTATTCGACCCATATATCTTTTGCAACTGTTTGGCTATATCCTGAGTACCGTCTGGACTTCCATCGTCAATTATAATCACTTCATAGTCATATCCACTGCGAAAATCAACAAATATTTAAATGAAAAATAATATGACAATGAAACACCAATGTTTATGTCGTAATTTTATGTTAATTATAGGTTACTGGGCCTTACCTTTTGTCTAAGCAATTGACTATTAGCCATATTATAATGGGTAAGTTCTCTCTTTCGTTGTAAGTAGGTAATAATATGGAATATTTATCACTTTTAGTGATTTCCGAATCTAAAGCCGTGGCCGCCATAGTCTCGTTTTCGGGTTCGTTAAACATTTCGCTGTCAACAAACGTCAAAAATTGTCAACACATCACAAATTCATGTCATAAACATAAAAAAAGAAAAACTTTATTTTTGTATCGAAAATTAGACGTAAACTAATTTTAATAAATTAATAAACATGGTGGGTAAATTAATCTACCTTAGTAAAACCGACAGAGTTGTAATTCGGTATTTTTTCTTTGTCTCCGACATGATATATTGTTTTCCAAAATATTTCAATTTTCGGTCCTTATCTTAACTCAAAACCTTATCATTCTATCACATTGTTTATCTCAAAATATTTCAAAACGTCGAAACTTGGTCCCGTGTCCTCACTACCAACTATTTATATTATTTCATTAGTATTATTTTAGAATTCAGCTATCGTCCATGGAATTCAGTTACTGCTTCGCTGTACCGTTGCATTGGTTAATCTACAAAATTACATAATATATTGTTATTGTTATTTTAATTAAATAAGTGAAAAAGTACATACTAATTAGGTACCTACTTTATTAAATATTTTTTTGTGTGTTTTTTTTATTTTATTATTTCTATTGCCTTGTTTGTATACTAATATATTATGATCAAAATTACTGCAGTACAATACCAATAATATCTATGACTAAAATGATAATAATTATAATCGAAGATTAAACATTGTTTTAAATAATATTCCATGGAAACTTTTCTGCGTACTACGCAACAAAGCTACAGCGATGTAAATGTATACGTCAATGTCAAATCAAAGAATTTGTCAACATCAACAAAGCAAAGTGTTCAAGTTGCGGAAATCGTTCGTTTCGTAAAAGTGGAGTTTACGACAACGAAATTAGAAAAATAACCATACAAAATACAGAATTGAGCTCAAAGTTATAACGCATAATTTACTAAAAATCGTAACATTTGCCTACATCCGTCGCTTGACGTATTAAACCAAGTTTTGTAATAGTAAACCACCGCAATGTTTAGAAAGTGAAACCTTACGAAACGTTAAGAAAATGGGGAAAACGAGCAAAGTTGTTATATGTGGGATGAAAGGGGTTGGCAAAACCGCAGTATTAGAACAACTTATCTATGGAAATGTGAATTTAAAGTCTTGTTTTTACCCAACTATTGAGGATATTTATGTGGCCAATATTGAAACTGACAGGGGGACTAAAGAAAGAGTATGTTTCTATGACACGGCGGGACTGGAGCCCCCGCTTACAGGCGAGTTCAAAGGTTTAGTCTAGTTTGATTTATTTTTGCTTGAGTGCTTGTACAGGCTGGCTGGCAGTTGGCACTGCTTTGATATTGGCGTATTTTTTCATGCTTGTCTATGGGTAAGAAGAAGAAGAAGACTGTTCGTTTTTTAAAAATTCAAATGTGTAAATAAAGTTTAAAAATAAAACACTAGGTACCTCTCTCTTCAACTTTGTGGTTCTGAGACATCATAAATTCATACATAATGTATTTTTAATTTTAACATCTCATTCAAGTGTAGTTTTTTCAAGCAAGACCAGTTGTTCTTTGGACTACTGGCCTTGTTGCCTACTTGTTTAAACTATCGACTTGATTAAAAAGCTGATACAGTAATGCTCATCTTTTTACTTATAAAAAATAGTAGATTGTCATAATATTTTATTTGTAATCATATTATCATTTCATACTCTGTTAGCTACAATGCTATTCAAAATTAACACTATAAATGAGCCTTAACAAGCACAGCAAAATAAATTGCACATATTTAATAATAATTATTTAAAATATTTCTTTTTAATATAGGTCCTCACTGATTGCACAATTCTATACTTTTCAGGAGAAAATACACAAAGAAAAAGATTAAAATGTAAATAAAGTTGATTTTGTAATGTAAATATTTAACCTCTTGAAAATTGTTAAAAATCATCCCCTAAATTTGTTCATACAGAAGTAGTCTCTATACCTTGGAAATAAGGTCTATAATATAGTTAGTGGAGAGTGGTCATCGGTCACCGCTTGGGGATATATGGGTCAATACAGTTATAAATATAATTGAGACGAGTGGAAGTAGGGTAGGGAGGCCCATGCCCTGCAGTGGGACGATCATGGTTGAAAATAAAAATAAAATGACATAACAAGAACATTTTAATCTCAGGAGGGAGTTGATAGTGGTCTTCTGAAGGTGTCTCTTTGGAAAATTAAAAACGCTGGTGTGTGTTAGGAATATCTATTTGTGTTGAGGTGACCATTAAGTATCCGTTTATTTCTGATACCTACTTATGAAATTGTATTAAATTATTGAGTGCCTGGTATTTGGGACACAATAGATTGTGTCTTGTGTAGATCTACATTCCAGCTTACCATTGGTTAATTGGAACTTTTACACATCATCATTTCAAAATTAAGCAAGACGAAACTAACAATTCCCATCTTATTAGTTAGTTACTTTGAGAATATCAATTTATGCTAGATTCTCCGCGAATGCGCAGGAGCCGCCCGCGAGCTGCGCGCGTGCATCTAAAATTATTATTTATACGAATCTTGTATGAGTTGAGCATTACCGTGACTGCACGCGCACAGCTCGCGGGCTGCTCGCGAGCGGCACATTCGCTGCGTCAGATGTGGACATACCCTTATAATCAAATGGTATGCCATCATCTAATAGTAGTTATGTTCTCAGGACCGCCACAATCTCCAACAATGCAGCTGACTGCCAACCAAGTTCTGCAACGTCATTACCTGGGCTTCGCTGAAGGGTTCGTCATGGTGTATGACACAACCAGACCTGAATCACTTGATGTGCTCATGTATTTGAAGAAGGATATTGACAGAAATAAGGATAAGAAGGAGGTAATTAGTGTATTTAACTATTCATGTGATGCCTAACTCCTGTTATTATACAATTATTTTTTTGTTAGGAAAAAAATGCAGCATATTTTATAGCTTCCTATGTCTAGACTGAATACAAAAACCATATTATAAAAACACTCTGTTGCTACATGATGAAAAGATAAACAATACAATAATTATTAATTAATATTTAATGAAATATTAATTGTTAATTAACCTTCGACAATGTCGCGGAGAACCTAACGGGTTACCGGGGCTTCGGCTCGACGTGCAGGAGAAGGAACGGGGTGGTTTTTAGTCAGTAAGAGTCTGACACTCCCGCCCGCCTCACCTAGGCGGGAGCAGTCATTCGATGATTTTCCCCCTTAAAAAAAACCCACAACAATCCTCAAATTCTTAATTCCCAAAAAGCCGGCAACGCAATTGTAATAAAATGATGATGTTCATAGGCGGCGCCAATTGCTTGCCATCAGCTAATCCGTCTGCTCGTTTACCGGCTTATACCATAACAAAACGGCTTAAAAAATATATTAAAAGTACTAATAGTAGTATTAAACTGTTTTTGTTTTGCATGAAGAGACATTACGTCTCTCACATACAAGGACTAACATATTGCGCATTATTTATTTTTATTTTTTTTAAACGTTGCCGTCACTAGGATTTTCTCCTGTGTCGTGGGTGCGTTTATAAACATACAAGTTCACATACACATTACATTCAGACCCGGAACAACAATCTGTGTGTGCATTATTTTAAAGGCACATATTATGTGTGTGTGTAAAGGAGGGCAAATCTAATAGCACAGATCTACATAGAGAGTAATTTCAGAGATTTTCAATAATATTATGCCCTCCTCGGATATTTTATTTTAATCTCTTGTCTCGCGTACATCTACGCTCCGACATACCAGAGGTTAAACCTCCTTATCGCTAGTTTGTGAGGTTAAATTTTTTTATCAAGTATTTTTTTTTCCTAATTTGAAAACATTTGCCTTCAAGTCGACATAACTTTTTATTAAATCCTTTTTATTTTTTGCGGAAGTAAAATTAAGTATGTATGTTAATCAGATTTGATAAGATATTACGATTGGCTCGTTAGTCGAGTTATTCCGGGGTCGTGCAAAGTATAACTGTCTTCTTAAAAAATAAATTCTCAGTAGTAGCACGGAGCCTAGAATTGTGCCCGGTATATGGCAAGAGGCTCACCCCCTCATTCATGGGACTCATAATATAAACAGTAAAAAGTGAGTATTACATTGTACAGTGGCATTATGTGCCGTAATGTGTACCTCTGCCTATGCATATTACGATAAAAGGCGTAATGTTATGCACCGGATTTTGATGCAGTTTGTTTTAATACATAGAGTGATTCTTAAGGAAGGTTTATATGTATAATACATGCATATTGCGTCAGTGCGAAGCCGGGGCGGGTCGCTAGTAAAATATTATACATATAAATCTGAAGTGTTGGTTTTTTGTTTATTTGTTTGAACGCGCTAATCTCCGTAACTACTGGTTCGATTTGAATAACTCTTTTTGTGTTGGATAGTGCATTCATCGAGAAGGTTATAGGCTATCATAAAACATCACGCTACGACCAAAAGGAACCGAGCGGGTGAATCCGCGCGGAAGTAACCAGTTGATAGGATAAAACTGTATGATTCGTGTGAACATCAAATATTTACATAGGTACATCAGCCTAATTAAACCTGCCATGGCCAATGTCGTTATGACGTCCCCTGTGGCCTGTGGCTATGACCCTGAACTAAACACGCTAAAATAACATGAAATGGTATTTAGACATGCGAAATTGTTCGTCTTTTTTATAATAGTATTATACTGCGGTTATACGTGTCTTTCGTCGAGAATTTACTGGAGTCGATAATTAAACTGGAGTGCTAAGCATGAATAACTATTGAATTTCTGATTGGACGGCTCCAGTGAACCAATCAATCCGAGCGAGCGCCGAACGCACTCGATACTATTACGTTACGATAGTTTTATTCGTTTTTGGCACTCTGAAACTCCATATGCGTGTGTCGCGGTAGTGCTCATCTATTTTATTTTTATTTTGCAGGTAGTAATGCTAGTCATAGGCAACCGCACAGGTCCTGATGACGTCAACAGTCTCGAAAACACATGCTCCAAAGCTGCAAACTGGTGTGCGCGGGAAAAAATCCGCCATTTTGAAGTATCTGCAATGGATCGACCTTCTTTGTACGAACCTTTTATATTTATGACTTCGAAACTAAATCCAGTACAAAATAAAACAGCTTTCCCACAATTAAGCACTTTGAGCAAGCTGACACAGAAAAATAATAAGAGCGAAGCCATGTAACGGTACGTTTTTAGTCTATGCCCTTTCTGCTATCAACCATGAAGGTTGGTAGCATTATCTGTGGTTGGAAGTGAGCTGTCAAATTTTGGCGCGGAATAATAATGGTGCTTGTAGATTTTTTAACGCTTGATAAATACCAGTTTAATGTTGTATTGTAGCTTAAAAAGCTTGGCTTTAATCTAATGTAGATAGAAATACAAATATTTCGAAAGCTCTCTCTATAATCTCTCTATTGGCTTACATTCTTATCCGAGATTTTGAAATTGGAGCCTATTTTTGACAGCTTACGAACGAGTTTGGCAATTTTAGTGTAAATACTTCTTGAATGTTATGTAAGATAGAAGGTACGGACGTAAAGCCAAGTATACACTAGGGGACAAATATCCTGCGACACGTGTCGCTAACGATGTCTTTGGTCGACCTGTCTGTTACTGTAATTGGATTTTCTGCCGTTGTGACTGTTTAAAAAAAAATCACACATGCAAGAAACTTTTGGAACGTCCTCTTTGTTGCTATAGTAACGCTTTACCTAGACATTAGATAATCATAGGTTACACGTTGTCACCGTATATGACAGGCGACATCGGCCGGCTTCGCTCGGGATATTTGTCCACTAGTGTATCCTTGCCTTAAACCAATAGTCGCATGTCAAGCTATGCCAATCCAGTATAACCTAACTAACCGTTGAATGTACAGAAACATCATACGAATACGAAGGGAGACAACAATAAACTGGTTTTTTATAGCTTCATTTGTATCTGTGCCACGAACAATAAACTGTTTTAACTTAAAATCGCGGGTTACTCACGTGAATATACTGAGAAAGGCTCTACTAGTTTCGAACCACAGAGGAGTTCGTCCGTATGAGCAGCGTGCGCGGTCGCCGCGCAGCCTACAGCTCGCATCGGTGTTGCTACTTGCGCTGCGAGCCCACCGCGCCCTCTGTTTATGTCTATGTCTATGAGTAGGCGGCGCGACATCGCCGCGACCGTGCACGCTGCTCATGAGGAAGAACCCCTCTGTAGTTCGAAACTAGTAGAGCTTTTCTCAGTACCTATATTCACTTTACTACGTTACCCGCGATTTTTAGTTAATTTAGTATGTCTCACGCTAGTTATTATTAAAATAGACTATTTCATTGTAATTTTTAAAGATTAGTGAAATTTTTAATATTCAAGAAGTATTTCGCTAGCTCATCGAATCATTCGATCTTTTATATTTTTACTGAATTAGCAAATTTTTTAGTTTGTAAATAAGTATTGTAGCAAAATTCTCAACACAAATTCTAATTTATTAAAAATTTTGGTCGTTAATTTCAATAGAAATAGATACTTACATTATATGATAGAAAAATGTATCTCAAAATACCTTTTTTCACGCTCTGGTTAATACCGGATGATCTGTTAGCTAGTGTCAGGTATTTATTAGATTTTCAACGTTATAATTTTGTAGTAAAGTCGAAAATCGTATGTAAAAATTGTACCTAGTACTCCTAGTAGTTTGACCTGCTGACCGCACACCGTGTGAAAAAAAACTTAACTACATAATAATATTGTACTGTAGATTAATAGAAAAGAACCTTTTTTTCATTTTTCTATGCAGATCACTTTGAAAATTGTTCAAACTCTTGACAATGTTTAAAATGTGGTTGATAAGGGTCAGTTTACACGTAGATGAAGCGTATGGTAGCAAAATATTCAATAATTGACTTAGCAAATTCAACCTTACACCGCGTATGCCACACATTACTTCGGAGATTTAAAGAACGCGGTTCGCGAATTTTTCGCTTCGACTCTGCGTCAACGGTTACTTTCTTTGGTCTAAATAGTCTAAATACGCTCTGCATTTTCCGTCAGTTCAAAACTGACCAAAATGATTAACTAACCGGAATATTGTACTTAAAACCTTATTTCAAGAACCAATCTATCTCTAGATCTGCTTACTATAGAAATAGAATTTTGACAAAAAATCCAACCAAAAGGTATTTTCTGACTAGATGGCGCTGATCGGATGGACACTGGGTGACCAAACGGTACCAACAAACATTATACAAAAAAAAGTAGTAACGTCTCTTTGTTTAAAAGAGAAATTGGATAGTCAAAATATTTTATGATAATTCTTTGACAGATATAGTGATTCGACAATTATTAATCTCACGCTACATCAGCGCCATCTGTAATACAGTAACGCTAATTCTATCTCTAGTAAACAAATCTACAACTCAACAGGTTTTGGAAATTGACTTCAAAATGTATTAATTAAAGAAATCTCATTATTATTGTTTTTATTAATTTAAGTCGTATTCGTTTTCGTTTTAATTTATATGCTTTTATTTAGTTTTATAAATGGAATTTGAATGAAATGTACCTATGTAGGATTTACTTAGGCCCTTGCTCACGTCGTATTTTTGGCGCAGGTAACGCGTGAAATACGCACGTATACGCGCGAATTCGAACGCAACCTAAGCACATGTAGCAATCTTGAAACGCTCGTAGCACACAATAGGACAACTGGGTATTTGCTAACTAGTCACATTCAATACTGTTTTCGAACTGTCAAAAACGACAGTTTTCTATGAATTTTGTATGAAACTGTGTATTGTGACGTCACGTTTTTTAGCGTCAAACAGAGTACTTATTTCGTTGAAATTTACTGGCAAAATACTAAAATTAAATTGGTCATAAAATCAATTAATGAAAGTGTGATTATTTTTTAATATTTTATTGTATTGAACAGTCGAAATAATATTTTTTTTAATCAGGAAAGCACGCAATTGAAAACGCGCGTATAGGGGCAGTTGACGCACATATACGCTCTTCAAGCGCGCGTTTATATCATCAATACAAACGCAACAACCAGCGTTTCAGGCGCCGAAGACGCGCGTTCCTAACGTTGCCTGCGCGTATAAAAAACGCCGTGTGCAATGGGCCACGATCAAAGTTGAGAATTCTTGTCGGATTAATAAAGACATTATTCAGTATTTCAAATAGAGCCAGGCTGATGTCGATACGGAGCCGTGGAGGTTAAGGCTAAGTCCGCGCGCGTCTGAAAGAGCCATTAGACCACCACGGATGAGGCCCAATAGGGCTGATGCAGATACGGAGCCGTGGGGGACTTAACGGGTTGCCGGGGCTCCGGCTCGAAATACAGGGTAGGAACGGGGTGGTTTTATCAGTAAGAGTCTGATACTCCCTCCCACCTCACCCAGGCGGGAGAATTCATTCGATGATTTTCCCCCTTAAAAATAATGTGGATTAAATGGTGTAATTTCTTATAGCTTGACATGTTTTTTTTACATTTGTAACACAGTTTTATTTAACACCTTGAACGCCATGGGGGACAACGTATGGGCCACGCTAGCGTAGGATTTACCTTCAACGGTTTTCTGTCGGCAGTCAAAGCCTTAACCGAGGATTAAAGTTTACCAATCTGACAGAATTCTTAACAAGTTATTGTATTTAGAAATTAATACAATTCGATCTCTATGCCTATGTAGTTAAAAGCTATAGTCGTTTGAAAAATATCTGCCCCATTGTATGTTTTAGTTTTGTGTACTTAAAATTTTAAATCATGTCATATCATTGGATTGAAAACTACGGTAGGGGGCATAGATGTTATAGAAAAATATAACGAACTATAAATTAGGCTTAGTACTTAGTTATAGATAAGCTTTTAAAGAAATAGTGCAATATTTTTTAAATAAATTTTAAAAATGAAATAAAAATTTTAAACTGACGTCTTTTTTAAGTCAGTTGTGGCTTTTAAATTATTTTTTGTATGGTTATTAACTCATTTACGGTTTAAAATGTTTTAAACTTTTACCAATTAAATTTAAGAATGTTTAAAATTCCTCTCTTCAACATTTATAAACCTTTTCCAAAATTTATTTATTTTAAATTACTTATTAAAAATGTATACTTCCTATTTTTAACATAGAAAATGACTGGGTATGTATAATATTTTGGCTTATGAAGAATCTCTCAAAATAATTTATAAAATATTTAAATGAAATAAATTTATCTTTCTCTACACAAAATATTATTGTTTTTATTTCCAACAACATCAAATCGATCGACATATAATTTTAAATACACTCGGATCACACGATTGGGTAGTTTCCAAGGTATCAAAATGAAAAATCTAATAAGTCCGTCAGTTAGATAATGAAAAAAATATTAGACACGTATTTTTTTATTTTCTCGTATTAAGTTGCAAAACTTAGATAGAATAATTTAGGAGTGGGAGGTCGTTACGTCATAACGTGCTACAAAATGTGGCACGCTGTGACGTCACACGATATTTCAAATTAATATATTATCTTTGAAAGTATTTAATTTTGTGAGAAAAGAAAAAATACGTGTCTAAAGTTCTAAATTAATGTACCAAACGCCCATTAAAATAAAATTTAGGAAACTAACCTATTAAAAAGTCAGGTATGGCACCCGTGTACAATAGCGGGTTGTCCAGCTATTGCACCAATTACGCAGTCAAACATTGTATTAGCAGTGCTATTTTGAAGACAGAAAATTCGTATTACACATCACACTTAAAATTATAACATAACATCACGCCTTTTATCCCCGAAGAGGTAAGCAGAGGTGCACATTACACGGCACTTGATGCCACTGTACAATGTAACACCCACTTTTCACTATTTATGTTATGAGTTCCATGTAATAGGGGGTGAGCCTATTGCAATATACCGGGCACATTTCCAGACTCCGTGCTACTACTAAGATTTTTAAGAACCCAGTAATACTTTGCCCGACTCGGGAATCGAACCCGAGACCCCTTGCCCGGCAGTCGCACTTGCGACCACTCGGCCAACGAGGCAGTAAAAGGCAAAATGACGAAATACAAATACCTGTATATAGAATGTCAAAATATCCACCTAGTGTAATTCCTCTAATTTACGTCATCACCTGGTGGCGCTGATGTCGAGTCGAGTCGTCTACGAAGTCCTTTTCAGGTTAAGGACTCAGGGCACGATTTTCTCCCGCGCCCTCTATACAGATATGTACCTATGTAAAAAATCAAAGCAATTTTCACAGCGTGTTTTACGCTCGCGACGACGGTGTGTTTGTATGCGGCTCTGGCTACACCGGCGGGCGCGCCGTGGTCCCGCAGCAGCGGCGGCTAGCACCCGCGCGTTCTCTATCGGTTGGCTGGCGATCGCAATTGAACGGCCGATCTGGAACTCAATTTATTGTTGAACCGTCTCCCCATCTTGCGATAATCGGGGTGGCTGGAGGAATCGAAGAAAACTGCGGTCTCGCGTGAGTTTGAAAATTCCGCCTCCATTCCGCCATTACAGCGGGCGCGGGAGAAGATCGCGCCGTGAGTCCTTAGCTTCAGTGTGTTAAAGTCATGTTTCGGCTCGAATGGGCCGGCTAGACCGGAGTATACCACGTCCTTATAGAAAACCGATGTGAAACAACGCTTGCGTTGTGTTTCACCACATGGTAAATGACAATGAAGGATAAAACCTGGGAGTCTTCAAGGCCCGAGTGAATAGGTTGCTTATGGGACGACGTGCTTCATCGTAGACCGCATCATCGCTTACCACTAGGCGAGATAGTGGTCAAACGTCCACCCATAAATATAAAAAAAAAAAATTACGTTACCGGAAGCCTAATTAGCAATTACCAAATTCTCCAATCCCGTAATCCTCAAATCCCTACCCTCCATGAGGCCGGTAACGCGCTTAAAGCTCTGGTGTTGCGGATGTCCATAGGCGGTGGCGATTGCTTACCATTTACCAAGTCCCATCCAGGTGATCCATCTGTTCGTTTGTCGGCGTCACACCAACAGCCTATAAGTGGCCACTGCTGACCATAGACCTCTTCTCGCACAGAGAAGGTTTGAGCATTAATCACCACGCTTGCTCAAGGCGGGTTGGCAATTTCAAACTTATAATTAGTAATTATTAGCTCAGGTGTCCTCACGAACGGCGAAGGAAAATCATCGATTATCAGTTGGGTCTAAATAGTGTATGAAAGTAGGTAGGTACATATATACACGGCAAAAGTAATATTGGTACTTGCCGTTGGTAGGTTTCGGACCCACACTCTCATGTGTAAGAAGCGGGCGTCTTACCTCCGAGACACCGCGACATTGTATAGGTTCAGATTAATTATTTATGTTAATTTTGTGTTACCTAAAGCAAAATAAAATTATGTTTTAAGATACTGTTTTTGTACGTTACTTGCCAGGTTTCGAAACCTCACCCTCATGCTTGAGAAGCGGGTGTTTTAAACCTCCGGGACACCACGACATTGGGATATTCCATAAAAAAACGAAAAATAAACTTAAAAACATTTAATAGGTATAGTTTAGTAATTAGTCGGTTTGCTATCAAGTTACGGGGCTTTTTTACATACATAACATTACGCCTTTTACTCCCGAAGGGGTAGGCAGAGGTGCAAATATTTTTTTTTTTAAACCGTTGCCCCACACTAGGATTATCTCCTGTGTCGTGGGTGCGTTTACAAACATATAAGTTTACATACACATGACACCCAGACCCGAAACAACAATTTGTGGATCACACAAAGTGTTGTTCCATGTGGAAATCGAACCCGCGACACGTTGCACGGCAGCCGGTTGCCCAGCCACTGCACCTACCGTGCAGTTACATTATGCCACTGTGCAATGTAACACCCACTTTTCACTATTAATGTTATGAGTCCCATGTAATAGTGGGTGAGCCTGTTATCATAATACCATAATGCCAAAATAAACTTAAAAACATTTAATAAGTATAGTTTAGTATTTAGTCGGTTTGCTATCAAGTTTCGGGGCTTTTATCTCTCCAATAATTTGTGCATACGGCGATTCTTCCTTCATTTTCAAGTTAATAACTGGATCAGGAACGTCCAATTCGACGTATGACACTCGATCCGCGTCCTGAAAGTGTAACAATTAATTTTTATATTGTAAAATGAATTTAGTCCATCTTTCTATAATAAGTATAACAGATTATACCTAAGGGTCAATTTTAACTGCCACATATTTTAAATTTATTGAAAAGTAGCAAACCCGGCGAACTTTGTTTCGCCACCAGACGGCTTCGTTTTATGTTATGTAACATTCTTTGCTATAAACCTCACGGAGCCCGACACCTTTCCAACGAATGCAAAGCCGTGGAAATCGGTTCGTGCGTTCTGGAGTTATAGCGTCAGGAAGGAAAACCTGACTTATTTTTATATAGTAGATAACGGTTCACTCATATGTAATAGCCGAGAAAAGTTTTGCCTCTATCAGTTTCAAGTCACAACGAAACAATACGAGCGGTTACCGGAGACCCAATATACGAATCCCCAACAACCCTCAAATTCCTAATCCCCAAAAGGCCGGTAACGCACTTGTAACGGCTTTGGTATTTCAAGTGTCCATGGGCGGCGCCGATTGCTTACCATCAGGTGATCCGTCTGCTCCTTTACCGGCTTACCCCATAAAATACCTCTAGGATACTTATTACTTTAGTAGGTACTAGCGACCTACCCCGGCTTCGCACGGGTTGAATATTCATGTATTATACATATTATAATCCTTCCTTAAGAATCATTCTATCTATTAAAAAAACCGCATCAAAATCCGTTGCGTAGTTTTAAAGATCTAAGTATACATAGGGACAGACAGACGGCGGATAGCGACTTTGTTTTATACTATGTAGTGTTGTTTTATAATAAGTACTTACATTTTCAATTTTTTTACGGCAACGACTTCTATAAAGTATAGCTATTGTAGTTACTAATGCAACAACTATTATTACGCCAAAAGCAATCACGTACATCTGTTGACCGTTGATTTCATGATTTAGGTCTGAAAAATAGAATAATAAACTTTAATAATAAAATAATAATATAATAAATTCTTTATTTCGGAATTGTACATTCCATATCTTATACTACTAGGAACAAAAAAAAAACCAGCACATACTTATATTATCTACAAACAAAAAAAAAACAATTTATCATAAACTAAAACACAATAACAACATTAATAACATGAACGCTGCAATTTGCATCCATTTTTTACCTCTATATACAGACGTGGCATACAATCGGTTGTGTAACTCCAACTTTAATTTTCAAGCACTATTTGTATGGAATTTGTCTAAGGCCCGATTTCTCCAATGCCAGAGTTTTAACTGAGGAATATCTTTAAATATTTGACAATATTCCCAGATTCGTTCTTCAGTAGTTTTTAGACTACTACTAAATCCTAGGACCTTAATAATTTATATACCGAGTTTGGTCCTTCAGTTCACACATACATGAAAAATCAGTATGAAGTGACCGTCGAATATATGGGAACTTTGATAAGATGCATCTCAAGCAATACAATACCAGTATAGTATACGCAGACAATTGAATGTGCTGAAGGATCATACAAAATGAGAGCATGATAAACTGACTGACTTGACTGATTTGACAGCACGGTTGGCGCGCGAGAAAATCCTAGTGTGGGGCAACGTTTTTTTTAAATAGAAAATAGAGAGATAAACTGGTTTTATATAAACCTTGACGTGATGCCGTATTAACATAAACCTACTTAGTACATAAAAAAAGTGTCGTACCTTCTAGGTCATCGTATACCAGCAGTGTTTTGGTGACGTAACGGGTGACATTGATGACCTTATCATTGCCGGTTCTCACATAATATAGGCAATAGACAACTGCGTTATCATACGATCTGTTGAATGTCATCTTTACTTGATTACTGGCATATGTTGTAATTTGATTTGATGTAGCTTTTATCGTGCCCATGTTGACATAGACATCTGTAACATAGTATAAATTACAGGGCGTATGCATCGTGACTTATAAAGCCAGTACTACGCTCGGGAGCAAAGAAATGGTGCCAGCTAGTGTTTTTTTTCTTTTTCTAATACAAGTATTTTATTAATTGGCAACGTAAACGTCTTTGAGGAGTGGCTTGAGAGACGCTACGGCGTCCTCACCTACAGAAGTACCAGTATCTGATAGGGCGGGAGGAAACGCCCAGGTATCATCACTGTGAGGACACGGTGGAACATATGGTGGCAACATGCCCTGCATGGGGTGAGTACCGCTTTGCCCTTAGGAATGTGATCTACGAGTGCGACCTCTCGCGTTCACCCTAGTCCGGGCCTTGATGCGGTGCGAGGAGGAATGGAATACCGTCGCCTCCTTCTGCGAAGCAGTTATGCTAGCTAAGGAGGAAACGGGACGCGTGAGGCAGCGAAGCACTGCCTACACACTCCCAGCCGTCGCGAAGGACACTCCGGGCGTCGGGGTTCGCGAGACGATCTCCGGCCACCGTAAGCACGGACCTGCAGACAGCGAGCACGGGTGACTCGCCGCCCGACCAAAAGCAGACCCGAGTATACGGCGCGCCTGAAAGAGACATTAGACCACCACGGATGAGGCCCAATCTGCGGCTCTGTATCGGCTGATGCAGGTACGGAGCCGCGGAGGACTTTAGTCAGTAAGGTGGTTTTTAGTCAGTAAGAGTCTAACACTCGGATCTCGCCTCACCCGGCCGAGAGAAGTAATTTGATGATTTTCTCCCGAATGTCGTATAAAAGACAGTTTGGTTACCGTTAAAATGAGACAATTTTGTTGTAAAACTATTTTTTTAAAGTTACAGAGGGTTCGATAAAATGAAAAAAAAACGGCAGTGGCTCCGTGTCTTTGCTCCCAAGTGTATAGTTTTCCCCACTTAGGAGATCCATGATTCGGCACAAGTGGGCCGGCTCGACTGGAATGATTCCACGCCCTCACCTTGCCTTGTGTTTCGCTGTACGAGTAAGGTTACCGGAGGCCAATCCCCCCTAACCCCAATCGTCGCCGTCCTCAATCCCCAAATCCTCAAAAGGCCGTCAACAGACTGTAAATCTTCTGGTGTTGCGGTTGGGGGTGTCCATGGGTAGCGCCGATTGCTTACCATCAGGTGCTGTTTGCTCGTAAAAATATCATTGAACTATACTGTGGCAGGCTTACTGTACAGCACGGTAAACGTTATAGCGGCTTGGGTTAATAAGAAATAAACAGTAAAATTGAAACATTTTCATAGCGGTTAATTTCCGTCTATATGTTTGTTCGACAGAAATGTTGAAAATGGTTCTGGTATAGATACAACTACTTACTTGTATCATTCTTGTATTTGTCGCATTTAATCGCCGTGGGTCCAGTGTCACTATATTTTTTAATTGTAGCATTAGAATGTACTGTAAATATATTAACAATGGCATAAGTTAATGCTTTTAAAATTTTTAATTAAAAATACTAAACAGCAAATAATTTAAGTTAATCTAAAACTTGGGAGCAAAGTAACGGAGCCACTAGGTTTTATCATTTTATTCAACCCTCTTTAAAAATATTCTGTCAACAATAAAATGTCCTTATTGTATTACATACGTTACCAATTAATGAAATATTTGGTAACGGATTTTGTATCAGAAAATTTGTCAAGAAATGAAAAAGAAAAACGTTAGAGACTCCGATTCTTTGCTCCTAAGTGTAATTTAGATATTCCTAACACGAATGATTGCCCGAATTGGGATGATGACAGGGTATGAAAATTAAAAATCTAATTAGTCCGTCAGTTAGGTAACGAATAAATATTAGACACGTATTTTGTCGTATAATAAAACAATACTTAGATAAAACGAATCAAATTTAAGGAGTGGGCTAAAACGTCATTTCTACCTATAAAATGTACATAGAAGTGACGTCACGCGACATTTCAAATCAATTTATCGTCTAAAGTATTCGTTTCTGTAAGAAAATAAAAAATACGTGTCTAATGATTTAAAACAATCTACCAGACGGACATTAAAATAAAAATTAGGCATCTACGCTATTGGACGTGGTGGAGGTAAGTTCGCACACTGTGTATTCTCTTATCATTTTTCATATAATTAAGTATTAACCACGGAACATATAAAGGAGGTTCTGTGGTATTAACATAAACATAAGTGGGAGAGCCATGCTTCGGCACGAATGGGCCGGCTCAACTGGAGTGATACCACGGCCTCATAGAAATCCGACGTGAAACACTTGCGTTGTGTTTCGTCGTGTGGGTGAGGTTGCTGGAATGTTTTTATAATAACTATCGTGAGACATACTAAATTAAGTAAAATCGTGGGTTACTCAAGAAAATATACTGAGAAAAGCTCTACTAATTTTGAACCACAGAGGGGTTCTTCCTCATGAGCAGCGTGCGCGGTCGCGGCGACGTCGCGCAGCTCACTCGTGTGCACACGAGTAGAGCTAGTAGAGCTTTTCTCAATATATTCACGTGAGTAACCCGCGATTTTACTTAATGAGGTTACTGGAAGCCAAATCCCCCCCCCCCTCCCCCATCTCCACAATCCTCAAATTCTTAATTCCACAACTGCACCAAGCTTACTGTCACTTGCAAATAAGTACATATAATAGGATAAAGTAAACAAATGAATAATTGTTAAGGGGACGTCCAATAATTACGTGAGGTGTTTTTTTTCATTGTCAGCCCTTCCCTCCCCCCTTGGTGAGATTTCGTGAGATTTTATTCAACACCCTCCCGATAGCCCAATCTCACATGAGATTTTTCAAAATGTTGATTTTTCACGTAAACGCGAAATAAATACATGTGCATGTACAATTAAATCTTAAGCATGTACAATCTGGAATAAATGAACTGTGAAGTCGGTAAAAATAGTATATTTGTTTTTGTTTCTGTCAGAAAAAAAATTACGTGATATTTGCCGAGACTCCCCCTCTATCCAACGCAAGATTAGATGAGATTTGAGTCTACCCCCTCCCCCCCCCCCCTTAAACATCTCACGTAATTTATGGACGGGCGTCCTAAGGATCATCACACCGATGCGCGACGCGACGCGACGGTACTGGAAGAGGCCAGTGAAGTGTTCGGGGAGCGTCGCGTCGCGTCCCGATGTGCGCTGAACACAAGATATAAGTACTTACTTTCATCATTCCCCAGGGATAGCATAATTATTTTATTCTGTATTGCATTTTGCACTTTGTTGAGGCAGAGATTAGATCGAACGATACTGTTGTTGTCAAATGGTTCCAAGTACAGAATAAAGTTAGTATTGCTAACTAAACTTCCAGATATATTCATATACATAAATGTTCTAACTGAAACAATCAATAAATAATAACAATCCATTTACAATAAGTAATAGTATAAATATAAAGTATCTATAAAATCTAAAGATACAAAGCCGAAAATAGAATGGAAAATAGTGAGAGAATAGAGTAGTTTAATTTGCTGGCGTCTGTCTTCATGAGAGTTTTTAATATCTTGCGGATATGCACGCGTGACGACGGGATTGCCAACCAAAAAACGCTGTACTCCTATAAGCCAGGATGTACGATACAACCATGAAAACACCGGAACGCTGAAGTCCGGCGCGTCTCAGGGACATGGACAGAACAACCGTCTTACGAAATAAATCACAAGAAATTATTAGAGGAGAAGAAAACACGATAGTGTCCATTAAGTGTGGGAGAGCCATGCTTCGGCACGAATGGTCCGGCTCGACCGGTGTGATACCACGGCCCCACAGAAAACCGACGTGAAGCAACGCTTGCGTTGTGTTTGGTCGTGTGAGTGAGGTTACCGGAGGCCCAATTACCCTCCCTTCCCCAATCTCCCCAACTCCTGAATCCCCAACGATCCTCAAACTCCTAATCCCCACAAGGCCGGTAACGCCTCTGGTGTTCCAGGTGTCCATGGGCGACGCCGATTGCTTACCATCAGGTGATCCGTCTGCTCGTTTACCGGCTTATGCCATAAAAAAACTTCTCTCGGTGATTTATTAAGCATAATATTGTGCGATCTATGTATTGTGCTATGATACGTACTTGGTTTATCATCGTAATATTGATACCATTCATGCCTTTGTTCATAAGTCGTACATGGTCCGAATATTTTCTCCATTCCGATTTCCTCTGAAATGTTATTATTTTCCTTATTAGGTAGATAGTTAGCTTTAAAATTATCTATGACGTAATGCTTATTGTCATATCCAGTTCATGTTATCCTTGTATTATTATTGTAAATGCGAAAGCATAACAGTGAATACATTTTACATAGTATCTTGCCTTTTATCCCCGAAGGGGTAGGCAGAGGTGCACATTGTGGGCTTAATGCATTACATTGTACATTGGTACAATGTAACACCCACTTTTCACTATTTGTGTTATGTATCCCATGTAATAGGGGGTGAGCCTTTTGCCATATCAGTGAATATAACCGTGTAATTATATCGTTTTTGTCCCAACGTAAAATGGTTTTGTCTCGGTAACAATAGTTCTACAAATAAATTAAATGTTTAAACCAAAAAATAAGTGATGAATCATTGCAAAAAGCGAACTTTGGAAGCGCATATGAACTCATAGTAGGTACCTACATTTACGAAACATCATCTACAAAATATATTAAACAAAAAGTAACATCTTTATTTTTTAATTTTACTTTATGCATCGAAAGTAGGTACTCATTATCATCATCAACAGTCTATAAATGCCCACTGCTGAGCAAAGCCTCTTCTCACCAGAAGGTTTGAGCATTAATCACCACGCTTGCTCAATGTGGGTTGGCGATTTCAAACTTATAATTAGAAATTTTAAGTCCATGTTTCCTCACGATGTTTTCCTTCACCGTTTGTCAGTGGTGTCTGAATAATCTTAGAAAGTACATATAACTCGGAAAAAGTGACATTGGTACTTGCCGTTGGTCGTTGGTAGGTTTTGAACCCGCACCCTCATGCATGAAAAGCAGGCGTCTTAAACCTCCGGGCCACCACGACGAAAGGGCCACATCGTAAGTACTCCTTGGATGATAAGTTGTTTTGGCGCCGTACAAAAATGACATTCGCGGTGTATACTCAGCGCTTGTTAGGTACTTTTTCACGCAAAGATTACTGAACAGCAGGGCCGCGCCGACCCCCGGCAGCGCCTGTGTGCGGAATCGATGGAGCGCCTCTTTTTTACCGACTTCAAAAAAGTAGGAGGTGCTATGTTCGGCTGATTGATTTTTTTTGTTTGTTTGCACATTACTCCGCCATTTGTACACCGATTTCCAAAAATCTTATTTTGTTTAAAAGGGTATACTCTCGAAATGGTCCCATTAGTCCCGTCAATTTAGACATTCGAAGTTACATAAAGTCCCAACAAGCTGAATTTTTGTGAAGTTGTTCAAAACATAATTATAAACAATGTCTAGAAGTTCCCCATCATTCCTATGTAAGGAAAAAATTTAATTCAAGGTCAAAGGTCAAAAAAATGAGATTTTCGCTATTTTCAGCAAAACGGTAAGTTTTATCATAAAAGTACCTCAGACAAAAATTGTAGATCATAAATTTATCTATAAAAATGTATCAATACTTTTTTCTTACGAGCCACCGTTTCTGAGATATAACGATTCTAAAAGTTATAAAAGTTGTTATCGTCATAATATGCACACGTTTCCGCGCCACCTATGAGGTAGTGCTTGGGCTTGATTAATTTAGTTCAAACACAAGGTAGTTAATATAAACCGCTGAGGAGTTCCCTCGACTGTCTGTCGGCTCCATCATCAGGTCAAATCCAGACCCTTATCAAATTGTAGTGTTTAAAAATCGTAATTGAAAAACAAAATAGACGCAGTACTCGCCCATAGAATTTTCAAAAGTTCCCCTTGGTTTCCCTTGGGTCCCATCATCAGATCCTGACCTCATGGAAATGGGACCATCTCGGGAGTATACCCTTTCAAACAAAACAAGAATTTTCGAAATCGGTTCACATATGGCGGAGTACTGAAAAAAATAACAATCAGCCGAACATACGTACCTCCTCCTTTTTTTAAAGTCAGTAAAAAGTTCAATGCGCACCTTACACACACTTTCAATCAAATGATTGTTCAATTGTTTTGTTTTAGCTTGACTCTCTCGTTCGTTAAAATCGGGGAATCCCTGTGACCCTACTCCTATAGCCTCGCACGCATCGCATCGGGTTGCGTTCACAAATTCACTCATACTTACTCATACAAAGTCGGCGCCTTTATGATTCAATATTTTAGTAGGTACCTACTTTATCTGTGGTTCAAAAGATCTGCCGTCGTTTTAACGTTGATCTTGTAACTCGTAAGTAATGTAAACTAAAACCCTAAGTGTAAAATGAAACCATAAACGTGATTAATAATAAACATAAATATTGAGAGACTTGTTTAATAAGCGTAATATAAGTTTTGTTGTATACAAGGCCTATGTTGCGCCTATTGTACCTACTTACTTATCGATACTCTACTACCAAAAATATAATAATTAAGGTAACAAAAATAATTCAAGTAGAGGTGGTGGCGCGACACGGCGCCCCTATTGTCTTGGCGCCTGTGTGCGCCGCACACTTCGCACACAGGGGCGGCGCGGCCCTGCTGAACAGATTTGAATGAAATGTTGTACCTATACAGTAATCTGCAGTGGTGTAACTACAGCGTGGGTGCCCGATACGGAGCCACGTAACGCCTAACGGGTTGCCGGGGCTCCGGCTCGACGTGCAGGAGTAGGAACGGGGTGGTTTTTTAGTCAGTAACAGTATGACACTCCCTCTCGCCTAACCCAAGGTGGGAGAAGCCATTGGATGATTTTCCCTCCTCAAAAAAAAGGTAGGCCCCGTTCAGAGTTTATCATCTGAACTTCTCTGTTTTTATTGGGAACGGGTGCCCATCTGATGAAATTGCCACGGGCCCCGAACGGTATAGTTACGCCACTGGTGAGATGACAGTTTTAATTTTTTTTTATAATAGATATTGATAGATTTTTATAGTTTTTTTTTGTAGATATAGACAAAGAGCTACTCACCTAAAGTAATAATACTAGAACACTGCAATATAAACAATCCAGTCACATACACACGTTTATTCATATTTTCCTATTCTGTTACTGTCAACTACAAAAAATACAATAAAGTATTAGAAAAGTTATAACTCTTTTATTAAGAATGAATATTAGGTAATGCATTTACAGTATCTTATTTTTAATTAATGTAAAATTAATTATATTATGACCATGTTTGCACCGACTAGTTACCACAAACGAACTGATCGTAGAACTATATTTAGGTACGTCATTTTAATTCTATAAAATTTTATCCTGTTAAAAATTACGTATATAGTTATTTCAATTATTGATTATTGTATGTATATGTATAAAAGGCATATATCCTTTTTATAGTTCTATCTATTTTATAGGTATCTACTTGTAGTGATATTATTAATTACTTTAATAAATGGACAACTGGCTGCTGTATCCACAACGTGTCAAGATATCAATTATTTTAATGAATCACATTGTTGTGTTTGTGTATTTGTATATTTTGTAGACGAGGTTCCGTGTGGCCAAGTCACAACATATTCTATAACAAAGTCGCATCGCTTTCTGTTACTGCCAGGAACGCCCTGAGGACACGGTGGAACACACACATGTCCTGTATCGGCTGAGCACCGCCGTGCCCACAGAAATATTATATATCTATTGCCGTGCCCTTAGGGATGTGATCGCCGACGGCGACTTCTCGCGTCTGGCCCTATTCCGGGTCATAATGCGAAAGCGAGAAGGACTGGATACGTTAGTTAGACGTGTCCTCCATTTCGGAAGTAGTCATGCTAGCTCAGGAAGAGGTGGGGCCTCACCTCAGTCACCACACAACCCAGCCACTCCGGGCATCGAGCATGGGTCGCTCGCCGCCCGACCAGAGAGACCAGGCTTAGTACGAGTTTTTTACGTCAAAAGTAATTGAATCGAGTTCGGCGCTCTGATTGGCCGACTCTAATGAACCAACCAATCAGAGCGCCGAATGCGGTCTTGTTTTTGAATGCCCTTGAACCAGACCCGAGTGCACGGCGCGTCGCGTTCCGCGCTCGTACTATTTAGACCTTATTGGATTTAACTACTGACTTCTTCGTTGTCCGAGTGATCGCAAGTGTGACTGCCGAGCAAGGGGTCTCGGGTTCGATTCCCGGGTCGGGCAAAGTATTACTGGATTTTTATAAATTCTCAGTAGTAGCACGGAGTCTGGAATTGTGCCCGGTATATGGTAATAAGCTCACCCCCTATTACATGGGACTCATAACATAAATAGTGAAAAGTGGGTGTTACATTGTACAGTGGCATAATGTGCACCTCTTCCCTTAGGGGATAAAGGGAGTGATGTTATGTGTGGTTGAAAGAGTCGGTATCACACATTTTACCTGAGTATCATGCACATCTCAATATTGATCAGAGGCTCTCCTTACTCCTCTCCTCCAACAAGCTAACAACACAGCCGTTGTAATTTCTGTAGTGTTGCTAGTGCCTATGGACGACGGTGATTGCTTACCATCGGGTGATGTGAGCTGTTGCTGTTTTGGCTCTTGCTCAATAAATCATATGTAGGTTTTAAATTAAAGGTTTTTTTTCAAATTCAAATCACTTTAATGCATCTATAGTGTGTACAGGGTCTACAGTCGCGGAGAACCTAACGGAGTAGCGGAGAACCTAACAGGTAACCGGGGCTCCGGCTCGACGTGCAGGAGAAGGAACGGAGTTGTTTTTAGTCAGTAAGAGTCTGACACTTCCTCCCGCCTCACGCAGGAGGGAGCAGTCATTCAAAAAAAAACCACCCTGTACACACTTTTTTTTCTTCACTCCGTTCCTTCTGCTGCACGTCGTTTAGGGTGAAACTGTTCAAAAGATCAAATAAAAACACCATAAGATGGCGAATTCTTTATTTATTCTTGCATTTGAAAATGTTCTTACAATCATCTTACGCTAATATCATGTTTTCCTACAGCTAGAGAATTATTCTTTGGATATCTACAGAACAGTTAGCTCGCGCGAGCAACATTAGCTTATTCTACAATTAATTACTACAGCAGTTGAATGCGCTGTTGCCGCAAAACATTAAAAGAAATGCAAAACCATCGACATTATACTAATGGACATGCCGTACGCGTATAATCTGCAATAATTTATTGGTTTGAAAAGAGTGAGAGAGATGGCCTATGCTTTCGGTCTATCACTGTCTCTTTCTCGCTCATAACGTCTTAACTACGTACTATTTTGAGCGAGATAAAGATAGACCGAAACTTCGTTTCCTCTCTTTCTTTCGGAGTGCACACAATTCTCATCTCTAAGGCATGTCCATTAGTATATGTGTATGTGCAAAACAACATAACTTTCGACGTAAGGCTAACTTAACTATGCAGTTTTTTTTTTATATTTTGTCAGAAATTTACGAAAAATATGAACAGTGTGAATATTTTATTTTGAATTGTAGTCTTTATACTGTTGTGTTAAAAAGAAATTGTTGTGATGATTAAATAAGTAGTAACTACAGTTTTGTTTCCACAGCAACAACGCGCCAACCGTTTAAAATTCGAAAAGTGATGTCTATTTATTTTTTTAAAACTTATTTTTACATTTTCATAATGTATTCGATTGAGAAAAATTATGTTTGTATTTGGAATCAATAATGATAATAAAATTTTATGCATTTTTCCAGAAACTGTAATACTTATCCTTTGGCAACATATTTTTAGAAAAAACAATAAATTGTCTATGTTATCTGACCATAGATAAAATGAAAGTATAGACAAATGTCATTTTTCTTCAATATTTAACAGTTATCCGTAATCGATAAGCAAAATCGAATAAATAAAAAGATCATGAAAGTATGTCCTATCGGTTTGGAGCCATAAATGATGTCGATACCATAATTTAATGCAATATTTGGTAATAATCAATATTTTTTTCCGTCACAAATATATGAAAGTTTGTTTAGTACAAATTTCAACTTTGTTACGCGTTGTGTGTAACAAAATTCAACCTTAAAATGTACGAAATAAAGTCGTTTTTGAGTTGAAATTATGTATTTGTTGACTTCCAGTCATTATAAATGTCAATATTTTCTCATTACTGCAAACATGGCAATTAATGCTCATAAACATTCGAAACTTCAAAATTTAAAAATTTAAATCGTATTTTTAAAAATTTTAAAAAGCATCTTTTTAAATTTGAAACCTGTTTCTTTCGCTTTCTTTTAGAAAGATAATTTTTCGTTTCTAAATATTTTCATTTAATAATAAATTTTGCAATAATTACAGCGTATCTTACCCTACATTCAACCTAAGGGTCAGATTGGATGTTACCCCTAACAACATCAATAGATTCTCGACTCTATTACAAAATATTAAAGTTGAAATTCTAGCTTAAAGTGTTCTCAAAATCCAATTGTTATCGTTGGTTCATCGGGCGAAATCATAATGAAATCTTAAATACCAACAGATATACCGTTTTCTTTTGAAAAAAGTAAAGACAACGATTTTAATTATTTATCAAACGATGTTATTCTAGTATTAGGATGTGGGTACGCGTATAAAAGATAAAAACCCCATGTTACCCCGTACGTTCCTTTAAACGCCATGGGCATCACCGGTGCCTAACGTTAGCATATGATTTATCTTCATCAATTTTCTATTGGAGTTAAAGAACTAAGAGAAAATATTAAGCGCCTAGGGTTGTCGGGGCTCCGGCACGAAGTGCAGGAGTAGGAACGGGGTGGTTTATAGTCAGTAAGAGTCTAACACTCCCTCTCGCCTAACCCAAGGCGGGAGAAGTCATTGGATAATTTTGCCCCCTTAAAAAAGTATTAATAGCGTATACTTATATTTATCAATAGTCATCCGACCAATCAGTAATGGCTAATTTTACTAAAACCGCGTCAAAATCCAATCTGACCCAATAACACAGGCTAACAGCTGTGCGTCGTACGCGTGTTAATAAATACTACGACTAATATCAGTGACTAGCATCGCCATTCTAGTACTTTTAGTTTTAACTTATAAACAATTACATTTTAATCCTTATTTAGATGACTGAAAGGCCCTTTTCAAACGCTCCGGTTTCTGGTACCCAGCTGGAAAGTGTAGGTATGTGCGTACGTTAGCTGATGCACGTAACAGATGAATCTAATGAACAGGCTATCCTACTCCTTTCTGTCATTTTATTACATTTTCAACCTTATTCTGTTGATATAAAGTTAAAAATTTAATAAAAAATTAGGTTGATCTGTATATTTGTTGCTGGGCATCTGACATCAGTTGACCGGAATGTCTAAAAAGGCTATTTGAGAATGACTGAATGTTTGTTGACATAGAACTATTTTTTTCTTCTAATTGGCATCGTAGTCCCAAATACAGTGTACATAGACTTGCTTCGGATCTGATTAAGTTACGGTGGATTTTCTTATTCTATTTTACCTGATAACTGATTTCTATCAGACAGAATGTAAACTGGTTTGCACCTCAATCTCAATGGCGTTAACAGAATTGCCTAAGAAATCTAAACCCAAAAATGTCATCAACCATCCAGTCAACTCTCAACAGTCTATTAAACTTCATGGAATTGTTTAAAAAATAAATAATCACGAATTTAAATATTTTTCGTTTTAAACGTATTTTTTTCAAATCAATGTTTTTATAGTGCTATGGCCACTAGATCGAGATTAACATTGGTTCATTTATTTTACGTACCCCGGGCAAAGTCAGGAGGAGAAGTAAATGCTGATTTTATAAAATGAAATTTTGGTAACGACTTGATCTTTTTTTATAAACTGTAAATCGTTATAATATTGGCCGTTAATAGTTATTATTACAGAAAAAAAATATCATTTTAATAGAAAATTTTTCACAGGAAATTTATACAAACTCACAATTTTAGATTATTAAAACACGTAGTTTAAGTAAAAATACTGCTTTTCTTCCTCCTAAATACCCAACCATCATTATAAAGTCTCACTTCCACAATATTTGTTTTTATTTAATAGGTACACTACATAGTCTAATATTTTTTTAATTCCATATATTCGCACATTAGTTAAAGCCCTTCCTCTATACGAACACATTCAACATCGATTCTTCTAATTTTATTTTTACTTTTACCAAAAATATTTTCGTAGACACTTATTTTACTGGTCTATTTCGAAGCTCTTAGACTGTTCCAACTTACCCACGGCTTTAAAACTGCTGTAAAAAGGATAGATACCATCAGATTATAACAAATCTGCTATTATTTAAAATGACATTTTATATTTTCCTTTAATTTCCTTTAAAATGGAACCCATAATCTCGATCTTGTTAATCTTAAAACACGATTTTTCAAGTGATATTTTAGACACGAGATTTTGATCCTTATCCTTACTGAAATAAGAGCTACAGCTAAGAATGCTATGATGTTACACTATTTAAAGTCTGTGTGCATGAAAATTCAACAATTTTGATAAATATCGTCAACAATTTTACAATAAATAATGTATAGCAATCATGATAAGGAGCTGGTTTTATCCTTAGGCAAAAAATTACTTTTATTTAGCCCGCGTGTAAAACATTTCTATAAAAAAAAATTGCAATTACACTGACTCAGATTTTCAAAGGGTAAGTTCATATTATAACTTTCGTGGGAGATACTGTATTAATTATTATTATTTCGGCTTACTCACTGTCAGTAGCAGCGCGACAGTTACCGAGTCGTGTGTCGCGGAATGCTGCTCATGAATATGCCCTTCTAATATGGTTTGAAACTAATCTAGTTACTCGTCAAACAGTTACGCGAGTAAGCCGAAAACACAATAATTAAGGGTAAGTCCGACTCCTAGGGGTAAAATCAACTCCTGACGTCCCCCCCTTTTTGATGTTCCCCTAAAAATACTATTCGATCAGTATTCTTAAAAGTATGGAGGGGTCAATCTTAAAATTACAATATTACAATTTGACAAAAGTGATTTATCAACTAACTTTCTAAAGTTAACCATTCTTGAATAGAAATCTTTCCTTTGCTGCAATCTTCGTAAGTCTTTCCATACGTCACTACTTACACCTAAATGATTTGATATCTATTATACTGATTATAATACATACGATAAAAATGAGACCTTTAATTCAAATATTGTCTGGAAAATGGATTATCGTCAAAATTATTCAATATTTCATAAATAAACCGCCCAAGACTTAAATATTTTAATCCTACACAATACAATCGTTTTGGCGGCTTCGAATAATCTATTATAAAACACAAATATGAATTTCAAAAGTAACGGTCATTCGTCGACGACGTCCATTTTGAATGTGGTCGGCTTTCGACCAATGGGCTTCATCGCTAGTCTACGAACGTTTCCTTTTGTGCTATTTGTATTTAGAATTTCCTCGTCACTACTGCTTGAGTCTTCGAAGCGGCCGGTCGTGCGTATGTTGTCCTCTGAATCTGAAGACTGTGAAAATTGAAATATACGAATTAATAAGTTTTAAAATAGTTTCTTAGGTTTTTAGTCTAAAAAGTTTTGATTGCTAAATAGTGCATCTATAAAAAATATCTGAAATATTCTAAATGTTCAATTATTTATGAATTGTTAACTAATGAAAAATATGAGAAGGTGAAACATAATTATGATAAGCAGTGAAAGTGTGATAAAGTTCATTTGATATTTACAATATCACAAAACATATTAGAAATACTCACATTGATAGATAGGTACTAGATACAAAATAAAACAACAGCAAAATATATTTATTTCTGTAAAACATGCATAACTTAAAAATAAATCAGTGTTACTTATTTCAGCGTGCAAGGGCAAACAAGGATATTCCATATTTTTATCAGGGATGTTAGGGAGCTCCGTAACCGTACCCAAAACTATCGGATATCCGATATAAAAAATACCCGTAACCGTAACCGAATCCGAAATAAAAGTTTCGGATACTATCGGATAGCGGCGTGACGTATAAACCAAAAAAATATATTAGCTATTTGTATTTTACTTTTGAAATTCCTTAAAATTTTAATATCCGTAACTGAAATTATCCGAAACTAACGGATAATCCGAAATAATTTCATATCCGTACCCGTAACCGTATCCAGTATAATAATAATTATTTCTATATCCGTATCCAATCCGTATCCAAAATTTCATATCCATAACATCCCTGATTTTTATGATTTACAAAAAAATAATTTGAAAAACCAAGTCCCGTGATTAAGTTACAAAAAAGTCATGCGAAGCGTAGGACCGTTCCACCGGAAAATATCGTCAAATATAACTACGATTTGAAAATTATTTTCTATTATACCTAATATAAGTATGTAGATATAGAAAATACATAACAGAACATCACGCCTTTTATCCCCGAAGGGGTGGGCAGGGGTGCACATTATGCCATTGTACAATGTAACACCCACTTTTCACTATTTATGTTATGAGTCCCATGTAATAGGGGGTGAGCCTATTGCCATATACCGGGCACAATTCCAGACTCCATGCTACTACTGAGATACTTTTTTTAAAAACCTAGTATTAGTTTGCCCGACCCGGGAATCGAACCCGAGGCCCCTTGCCTGGCAGTCGCACTTGCGACCACTCGGCCAACGAGGCAGTCATATAGAAAATAACCTATTGATTTTTGGACTATTGTAAGCTTTATTGGAATCGGCCAACGTGGCAAGGGTTGAGGCGTCATGCACACATAAATGTCCTACAGTCGGTGGCGCTGTGTGTTGGGTTGTTCCGTTCCCAATAAAAAGGTTGACCGGACCAATTGCTGACACACACGTCATACTCGTGAACGGGTGCCTTCTGCTGGGTCTGGTATTAAACCTAATTATGTAAAAGCTAATTATGGTTGCCTTTGCAAAGCCTATAGGTATCAAGTTTTGAATTAAATATTCTTTAAATGTATAAAAATTCAAAATATCCTATTCTAGGTATATTTGACGATATATTGTCGTTGTCGTAAAGCAGATTAAAAAAAATTCAATCCCATTTTGACAATTTCTTTCATGTTTGTGTTAAAAGTGTCGTGGCGACAGTAGCAGTACACTCAATAGCAGCGCGACAGTTGCCGCGTCGCGTCTCGCGAATGCTGCTGATGAATATGAGCCCCTAGCATGGCTTGAAACTAGTCGAGTTACCCGTGAAACAGTTACGTGAGTAACCCAAATATATATATATTTTCATTTTTAAGAAGAAATATCTATTTTAATTTTTACGCAATGTTTGATTACGTTGCTATTAATTAGCTTAATTATCATAATAAATATTTAAAGTTGAAAATTATGCGAAATTATCCGTCAATTAGATTAGTACAAAGGTGTTAAAACAAAGATTTTAATAAAAGCTTTTATATTCACCAGATGGCGTCAATATAGCGTGAAGTCACGTATGTCCATAATTGAATGTTCAACGACTGAACATTACATTAGCAAATTGTGGTTTATTGGACCAGCGACCTCTCGCGATACTAGCGATCTTGGCAGTAAATTCACTGGCAGTAGTCCTGTAGTCCTCATTATGAAAAAACAGCAATTAGGTACCATGCTATCAAGATATCAAGTTCTTCAAGAGATCTAGATGATAGGTCATTATGACACGATTGAAGATTTTGAATTGTCAAAAAGGAATTGTACTTTTTTTTTAGTTTTTTTTAAAGCGATTTTTTAACAAACACGAACTTTTATTTCTTGGGGCGGCCACGTGCAATCACTTCTGGCAACCGTTTGTTGGGTCGCTCGTCACTGCTGTCCACGCTCTGGAGGCGGATTGAAGATATTTACACATGTGTTTATTCATGTTCATTCATTTCATTTACAAATTATATTATTTCATCAATAAAAATTGTATGTGAAATAAATTAATAATTGAGATCAGATTATTTCTTATGTTAGTCTCAAAACTGGAGTTTAAGTCCAATTTTCTATTTTTGAACGATATACTGAATCGAAAACCTTTAGAGAATTTAATTAAAAAAAAAACAACCTAAAATGAAAGGAGATTTGTTAGTTGACTGAATTTTTAAAACGAAATTATGTACAAAATCTCATTTTTATCTTGAGAATAAACTTTGTTTTTGGCAAACTAGTTCTACGTAAGACTTTTCGATTCTGATTCTAATAAATAGTTGTTTTAAACTCATTTCATAAATAAAAACAAACTTAGATAATTTACTTTAACTCACATGTAAAAATAAACTCATGTAGATACTCAATCATTTCGAAACTTTCCAAAATAAAAGTAAAATGTCACAATTTACTTAAACAAAACATAATATACTTCAGTCTCCAAATCCAAGCTACATGGATCTTACATCAAAGTCGCCGATAGTGAACCTGGTGCCGGCTGCCTCAGCCACGAGCTGTGCAGGCGCAGGGGGCGCGTTCTCAGGAGACAGCACCTTACCGCCACATTAACGCATGTACAGTTAGCATGGTGTGATGTGATGCCACATTAATTGGGACGCAGTCAAGGAGAACGTGAAACAGGATAAAACCAGATAGAACAGGGCTTACTCTTGAAACCAATCTCAATGTCAATGCAATTTCAATCCAATACAATCTCAATAATTATACAATGTCAAAACTATACAACTCCTATCGAAGCTGTTAAAATAGCATTCAAACTCAATACCATTTAGTTCCTTCAATATCCACGGAATACGCCCTTACTCTTGAATCCAATTCCGATCGATCAACATTGGTATTGTGAAATGTTGTACTCTTGAGTTGCAACACTAGCGCCGATTGTATCTATATTGCGTGGATATTGATTGAACTAAATGGTATTGAGTTGACTTTATATTCCGTACTCTGAATCACTGAATGCTATTTCAACGGCTACGATAGGGGTTATATAGTGTTGACATTGAATAATTATTGAAATTTTATTGGATTGAAATTACATTGACTATGAGATTGGTTTCAAGAATAAGCACCCAGAACAGGAGGAAATAAAAGTAGGAAAATTAGGACTAAAATAAACAGAATAGGTTAAAACAGGAATACAGATTGGAAAACTAGAAAAATGGATAGAAAAGGATTAAATCGAATTAAAGATAATAGGACCAAAGGAAACAGAATTGGAAGACATGATATAAAAAGACAGAAAGGACAAGATTAATTGAAATGAGAGTGGAATGAAACAGAACTAAAGATATTAAAAATAGGATAAAACAAAAGTAGACGAAACAATATAAAATTCAAATATAAATAGAAAAAAACATCAGGACTGACGGAAACAAAATGAAATAGGAAAGGAATCATAAATTTTTCTGACTGCATCCGTATTATTATGAAAAGAAAAATGTATTAAGTTTGATCATCTGTTACTTAAAGCATTTAATACCAGAGAAATTTAATGTAGACATTAATTGTATATCATCATAAACTAAACGCTCAATAACGCCATAACGCCCCCCTTATGATTTTACCATATTGCCCATGCCTGGCAGACGACGTGGAGGTCATAGTTCGGTCAGCGGAAAATTAAAGGAGGTTGCTTGTCCGTCAAATGAAGGTGCTTACCACCAGGCGAGATGGTGGACAAACACCAACCTATCAAGTATAAAAAAGAAGCTTAGGCCCTTCTGGAAAGAGCTAGCCGTAACTTAAGTACAGTGGCCAGGTCAACCTATCCTTGTCTGTCATTACATCTTCAACTTTATAGTACTGACATAAAGCCAAAAATCCAATGATCTAGTTGATCTACTGAACACTTCACCTATAACACCAAAATAGGCCTCACAGAAGACCGACGTGAAACAACAATGTGTTGTGTTTCGTCGTATGAGTGAGGTTACCGGATGCCCAATTACCCCCCCCCCCCCATCCTTTTCCCCAAACCCTGAATCCCCAACAATTCTCAAATTCCTAATCCCCAAAATGCCGGTAACGAACTTGTAACGCCTCTGGTGTCCCAGATGTCCATGGGCGACGACGATTGCTTACCATCAGGTGATTCGTCTGCTCGTTTACCGGCTTATGCCATAAAAAAAGGTATTTTTCCCTAATACGATGATGATCAAATTCAATACATTTTTCCTGTGTATAAAGTTATTTACAACATGTAACTAGCTGTAATGAAATGTCTATGTAACCATTTAACATTCATTTTGTATGATATTGTTAGCTTTAAACACACAGGTTATGAAATATATGATTCTAGCTTAAAATTTTGAAGTAATACTATCCTTTAGTTTAGCACCAAACAAAGGGTTGGATAATAGAAGAAATTATCGTAATTAATAGTAATTGTAATAACAGTGTTGTAAGTTTTGACTATGGCCAATTGGAATGATGACAGGGTTTGAAAATTAAAAATCTAATTAGTCCGTAAGTTAGGTAATGAAAAAATATAAGACACGTATTTTTTGTCCTATAATAAAGTAAAACGTCATTTCTACGTATAAAATGTACGTAGAAATGACGTCACGCCACATTCAAATCAATATATCGTCGAAAGTATTAGTTTTTGTAAGAAAATAAAAAATGCGTGTCTAATGATTTAAAGTAATCTACCAGACGGACATTAAAATAAAAATTAGACATCTACCCTATTGGCCAGGTTAAAGAATCGAATTTTTCGATTTCAAAAATTCTCAATAAAGTGTAAAAACACTGATTCTCCAATGACATTGCTCTCATAACAAGTGATTGAATATATTCCAAAATCTGTTAAATTATTTCAAACCGCCAAATCCAACACCTTCGACAACCCCAAAATTCTTGCCATAACAATTCCAAACCTTAAAACCAAAAGCATAGAACCGAAACTCAATCAGCGGATCAAAGGACCAAAAATGGTCCTTATTCCTTAGTACTTACATCTTGGTCACTCATCATCTCCTTGGTGGAGACGGTGGTTTCGATCCTCCTGATGGAGCCCTGGTGGATGTCCACGTCGAACTGCAGGCATTGGAAGCGACGGAGCAGAAGGACCACGGGTATTGGCAGAACTCCTGCCAGTATCATCATCACTGCGATCACAAGGACCCAAGTCGGATATGGAGTCTTTACGACGCGACCCTGTGAAGAACATTTTTATATATTTTGGACATCTATGATGCATTTTATGGACTGTAAATTCGGACAACGCCACGGGAAGACAATTAGTCATTATTTTAAGTGGTAAACAAAAATGATAAGTGGTACCTAAGTGTGTCACAGTACTTATTCCTTATCATTATAACTCTAATAATTATTGGAAACATGTAGAAGTCGATATGTACTGTGATCTTACCTACTTTCTACTAAAATTATAGGTTAATGCAAAAATTTGTGACGCTGTAGGTACATACTACTCGTATGAGTGTTTGTAGTCTTTTACACAAATAGTACTGAACAGATTGGAATGAATTTTTCTTTTTTTAGCAAAAACCTTACGCCATTTTTTTTTAAAGGGCTGAAAATCTTCGAATTACTGCTCCCGCCTGGGTGAGGCGGAAGGGAGTGTCAGACTCTTACTGACTAAAAACTACCCCGTTACGTCTCCTGCACGTCGAGCCGGAGCCCCGGTAACCCGTTAATTCTACGCGACAATTTCAACCCGATAGGTGTAAAACTAGCAAAGTTTCATACAAATTTTCATCCCCTATTGTACTCCCTTGGGGGTGGAAATGATTAAAATCCTTTCTTAGCGGACGCCTACGTTATAACATCTACCTGATTGCCGAATTTCAACCCGATCGGTGTAAACTACGGGGGAGGAGCTGTGAATCACTATTCCACTCGGACGAAGTCGCGGGCTCAGCTAGTAAGATAATAAGTCGAATAGTACATACAGCTATTTTATATTATTGTAGATTATTAATTATGGTAGGAATGACAATGGAAAACCCCTTTACAACTCGTAAAACCGGAAGATTTCTACGAAAATGGATGTCAACGGAAAACCAACATTGTTTAGGTATAACGTAGGTACTCATTAGTCATTTTAAACTTCGTACGTATGTACAATGTTCTGTCCTACAGTTATTGTAATGATGACCTGTATATACATGATAGGTAAAATCATAATAATATTATATTACCCTATTTACTTAGTTTTATTTGTCGTTGCTAATATAGAAAATTATGTTTTTTTTTTGGAATTTAAGAATGGTAGATATATTATAATGAACGATGATTGATGCATAGCAATTTTATATATGGAAATTTTTGTTTTGCTTTTTTATGTTTATTTTGGGTTATTTTGTATGAACAAATTAAAAAAAAAATATGAACAGTTTGTATGCTTGTTTATTAATTATTCACATCAAAATGGCTGATGGGACCGAGACGAAATTTAGTACAGAGTTATGGTCTAGATTCTACTCACCATACCATCCTTACTATCCTTACTAATATTATAAATCGGAAAGTGAGTTTATTTGTTTGTTTGTTTGTTCCGCTTTTACGCCGTAACTACTAAACCAATTGTTTTGAATTTGTGCAGACGTAAAGTTAGAAGTCTGGATTAAATAATAGGATACTTTTTATCCCGGAAAATTTTTATATTCTCAAGGAAAAACGAAATTATTGGTATAGATGGCGCTGTGTGTATTGGTATTTGTCACATAGGCTACTTTTTATCCTTTTGTGACGCGAGCAAAGCCGCGGGTAAAAGCTAGTACTACTATATACTATATACTAGACCATAACTACTCCTAACTAATAGACTTTAGAATTACACATAGGCTACTCCTCACCCCACAGAAACGCGAACGAAGTCACTAACAGGAGCCAGTGTCATATAAATCACTACATAGTATAAAACAAAGTCGCTATCCGCTGTCTGTCTGTCCCTATGTATGCTTAGATCTTTAAAACTACGCAACGGATTTTGATGTGGTTTTTTTAATAGATAGAGTGATTATTCAGGAAGATTTATATGTACCTCTATAATACATGCATAATATAGTAGAGAAACACTAATACATTTAGAGGTTTCTAATTGCACTCGTGCGACCCCGGGGCGGGTCACTAGTTAAGTACAAAAGTAAAAATAAGACGCAATATTCTACTGCCTATTATAAAGAGCGTCTCTTAGTCATCGCTACTAGTTGGAAACTCCGATCTTTGATTACGTCTAAGGATCCCTACTCACCGTGAAACCGCAAATGTATTTATATAACCAGCTGTCGTACACAGACTAGTACACATCGGTTGTTGTAGTAAAATGGTCCAGTGTTTAGTTTTTTTATTGTGCGTTATTATATCTCAGAGCTATGGAGATAAAGACCAAGTTGTGACGAGTAGAGGGTTAATAATAGGTGATAGACATAAAGGGTACAGCACTTTCCTTGGTGTGCCCTATGCTAAGGTTGACCTGGATAATCCGTTTGGGGTAAGTTTGTGTTTTTTTTTTTATAAAAACATTAGCTTCTGCCCGTGATTTCGTACGCGCAATTCCGTTTTTGCCCGTTCCCGTAGGATTTTAAGGATTTTTTCTGTCTTAAGAACCTTCTAATAATAACAAATACAACAAAGAGGAATTACTGAAATCGGTCCCGCCATTTGCGCTTGATGCCGTGACCAAGAGAAAAGGGGATTAATTTGTATATAATATATAGATATAGACTAATTTTCTCCACTCGAATTTATGGGTTTTTCTTCGTAGTATAATCCTATATTTGTGGGCAAAATTTCAAGAAGATTGTTTCAATAGATAAAGAGTAAAGATAAAAGAAACCTGTTTCACTATTTGTAATATATTAGTTGGAATTATTCTGATTCTACGAGTTTGAATTTGTAGAGTATATCTATCGAAGTGTGTTTTTCTCAGTGCATTGCCCTTATAATAATGAGCACGATAAATATTTAATATATTCGATTTGTTGCATTCCGTTCGTTCATGGACGAAGCAAACATTTTAACGAATTATTTTTATTTATTTGTCGTTTTATACGAACTATTGTTAATATTTATTCGTATGTGTTAGGTGTGATTATTATTGTATACTAGACGACCTCGTTTTCTCCAACTCCTGGTTACTGGCTTCATCCAAAGGTTGTCTGTAAAAATCGTATTCTGTAATAAGACCGCCCATTGTACACATTTTTTTTAGGTTTTCATGCTGTACAATGAAGTGTTAATAAATATTGTTGTTTCGTTTATTGGCTTCTCTATCTTAATAATATTAGATTATTATTTTATATTTCGCCAACAGAATACAAAGAATGTGTTGTGTTAAAACGAACGTAAAATATTGATAGTATTTTTCCCAAATGTATGTATATACATTTTTACTATTATTTAAACTTTATTTTCAGGGAACTATGACCCGTAGATACATACCTTACAGACTAACATAAATATTTTAATATACAATTGATTTTAGTAGATAAACTTAAACCTATGTTTAAGCACTTCACTATGCTATAGAATACTTATGTAAAAAAAATAGTGTTGTATAATTTACATTTCATGAACATATAAAATATAGTATAAAATAATTGTTTTATATACTACGATTAAAAATCGACTACAACCTCCTCTGTTTTTGAAGTCAGTTAAATATATATATATATATAAATGTATTGGCATTACTTAGTCTCTGCCTACCCCCATGGGAGACAGGCGTGAAGTTATGTATGTATGTATATGTATAAACATTCTCCTAAGTGTAACAAACACTGTTGTGAAAACCTGTATCAAAATCGGTTCAATCGCGAGATATTCGCGCGCTAACATACATATAGGTTAAACCGAGAACCTTTTTTTTAAGTCGGATAAAAACAGAAATTGGTATTAGGTACACACAGTTATGGAATATTTTTAGTGATTCATGAGTCTCGTTGCACATACATGTTGTATGACAATGTATAAGGAAAATAGTGAAGCAATAGGTATTTATATACAACAATATTAACTGACAAATAGTCAGTCAGTCCCAACATTTATATATGTATAGTTTTCTGACGTGGGTAATAGGGTAATGCCTAATTTTTATTTCAATGTCCGTCTGGTAGATTATTTTAAATCATTAGACACGTATTTTTTATTTTCTTACAGAAACGAATACCTTCGACGATATAGTTTGAAATGTCACGTGACGTCACTTCTATGTACATTTTATACGTAGAAATGACGTTTCAGCCCCCACTCCTAAACTTTGATTCGTTTTTATTATTTATTTATTTATTTTATTTTATTTATTTATTAATAATAAAGGTACATGGTATGCCTTATAATCTAACGCCATGTCCAACAAAACTATATGTAAATAGTTTGACTGTTGGATCTTCTATATTTAAATTACTATTTAGTAGGTATTTGTAGTTTACTATGATAATGGTTATGATTAATTTTAAATACACGTGGTTATGTTTTATCTAAGTATTGAATTATTATACGACAAAATAAAAAAATACGTGTCTAATATTTTTTCATTACCTTACCTAACTTACGGACTAATTATATTTTTAATTTACATACCCTGTCATCATCCCAATTCTATGAATAGGGAATCTTTGAATACTAGTTTCTATGAACCAAAGAGAGAATTGCAAATCTCATGTCAGCTCTCGTTAGTAAATGTTCTTTTGATTCTCGACCGGAATATTTTTCTTATTGATTGTTTCGTTGGCTGAGTAGTCGGAAGTACGAGTGCCGGGCAAAGGGTCTCGGGTTCGATTGTCGGGACGGGCAAAGTAATGAAGTTTTGTTAGACATAACGTTAGATTCTAAGTCATATCATGTACCTTTTTCATTAAATAAATATATACCTAATAATATTATCTAGAACTTATAACATATCTAATGAAACAAAAAACACATATTTTTTATGTTACATGGTTTTAATGAGCTCTATTCTACCAATCAAGCCTTTCTATTTGATATCCACAATGAAGGAACATAATATAACATCACGCCTTTTATCCCTGAAGAGGTAGGCATAGGTATTTTTTTTTTTTAAGGGGGGAAAATCATCGAGTGACTGCTCCCGCCTGGGTGAGGCGGAAGGGAGTGTCAGAATCTTACTGACTAAAAACCACCCCGTTCCTTCTCCTGCACGTCGAGCCGGAGCCCCGGTTACCCGTTAGGTT